GAAGATTAACAGGTTCTTGATAAAAAGGGTTTCATTGCTCCCAAATTGAAAGACATGGTTTCATAAAGGGGAGTTCAGTCTTCCATCTGCAGCTTTTATTTGATCTCAAGTCATGTAGTGTGAAGCCAGCCTAAGATGCATTCAGTGCCTAACACTGCTACAAACAACTTGGAAAGTTCAAAAGGGCTAGAAAACTTGTTAGAAAAGTAATTGGTTGCATTCTTTGTTTCAATATCTGCAAATGCCAAGCAGCTGTCATTTTAACTCCAGTATTTTTTTTTATTGCTGAGCACAATCCTTCATTCCAATCATCTGAAATTTAATTCAATGACTGAGGGACCACTGTCAAATTCTTGGAAATAATTTATCCTGGAAAGTTTCCAAAACCTATATGTCTTTTATTTAAGGATTTTGTTTGCCTTGTAGTTATTACTGAAATAAGCCGATGTTTAGATAAATTAAAAGAATAAGAATTTTATACAAGTGCCTGGTGGACAAAGTGGATAGAAATTAAATGTGAAATTTGGTAATTTGTTTCTCTGGGATGGCAACAACTGAATTACTATTTATTAATCAGGAAAGTACACACAGTTCTTAACTTGCTATATGATGTATAGAATTCAGTTTGGCTGGTAAAAGGATTCCAGTTTGTTTTATTCTATTGTTAGTTTTGGCATTTTTCCCACTATAGCAGGATATTAATCATACCTAAATTCCCTGTAAAAATGTTAAATATTTACTAAATGATTCTTGGAGATTAAGCTCCAAATGACAGTGTAGCACAGACATGTTGTCAAATCATATTAAGAATAGATATAACATTTTCAACAACTTAACGTCAGAGGTGCTGGGTGATTTTGAAGTTAAGTTAAATGTATTGAGTTGCCTTGAAGTTATTCCTCTCACCATTCAGACCAAGTTGAAAAATAAAGTTGTAGAACATCTTGCTCATGGCTTACTCCATAGCCCTTTCAAATTAGATGTGTAATTCCATTCTTAGTATAATAAAGAACATCATCCCAACATAATAAATAACCTGCTGTTTCTTTCATTTCATGAATATATAAAAATGGAATGTATAGTCTATCACTGTCAAGCTGCTCAGATGAACTCTGAATTTTAACATAATTTTTTACACAAAAACTCGCAAATAGATGGTACAGTGGTAGTTGTCACAGAAATTTTTTTTTGCCCCCTTTTTGTAACTTCTCCATTTAGGAATGCATTATCCCCTTTTTTCTTTCCTCTTCCCATTTTCACAGCTGGGACTTAAATCAATCTCGATCCATGCCACAATGGTGATAGAGCATATTGTCCTGGGACCAGATCCGATTTGTGTGCATTTTTTTTCAGCTGTGTCTCATATCAGGGGAAACATGTCTGGGTGGCAGATACTTGTCAGTATACCATTGTACTACTGCCATTACTCAAACCTTGCAACAGTGAACACAGTTACAGTCACTGGTGTCTGTCCAATTCCTTTATCAGAAAACCTTCTTACATTTTTCTTTGGAACCTTTAATATTTGCCTTCTTTAAATATTTTCCATGTACTGTACTTGGTGTTATGCAAAAAGCTGTCTTGAAATCACTGCTATAGTGTATAGATTTGATGTATCTGAAAATATAAACTGCAGGGGTGCTCCCAAGTGGTGTTTTTAAATTCAAAGGGCGCTGTCAATAGCTGTGATCACAAGTTTTTCAGTGGTGCACAAGTGGCTTTGTGCCACCTGCTGGGCGGGATTAAAGTCATTTGTGGTTTCCTGTGCCTGTCACACAATAGCAATCTTTGTAACTTGCTGGGTACCTGTGAGCATGCTTTGCTATACTAGTGAGATCTGACTCAAACAATCTGATGCTCAGCTCTGCAGTTTATGTTTTGGGGCTGCAGTGTGAACAACAAACTCATACTCAAAGCTCATATCACACCTTTTCATCTCTCCTGTATTGTCATGAGAATTGCATAGATGATCTGGGGTGACTAACTACTGTTGTACAGAAATCAAAAAGTATGAGAAAAACAACAACAGATTTCTGCTGACATTAGATTCAAGGCTCCGGTCATTGTGGAACCCCATCATACAGTATCTCATGTTCTATGCAACATATGAATTAGGGATATTCTGTTATGTATCAAGTAATACTGTATGTTATTTTCAGTTTTTGTCAGTTATGATTGACCTTTAACAAACCTATTTATTAAAATGACTGACCCTTATACCTCTTCAAGCACTAACACATCTGAGTTGGCTGCACTTCAAAGTATGATTGTTGGCTCAGCTGAAACAATATTGTGAATCACTTTGATATCCCTCTTTAAGTTGAAAGTGCTGAATGAATGTATGCCATTGTTATCTCGGGTTTCTTCCATGCTCAATTGCCAAAACTCTCAAAGAGGGAAATACAATCTTTAGCTATGGAGGATTCCACATACAGATTCATCTTTCAGGAAGATGACAGTGTGTCACTCTTACTCTTCCAACAATGAGCATATTTTGAAATCCCTTAATCCCTTTCCTCTGATAGTTTCTCAGTTTTTCTCATAACTTTTAACAAAGTATTTTTTTTCAAGAGTTTCAGAAATGTTTTCTCAAAGCCTGTTCCAGTGCGTTTGATTAGAACAGTAGGAATCTAGTTAGATAAACCAAACATCATGAAAGTTTTAGGGAATTAAATACGGGACAATTAGATAGTTAACATGACAACCCAGTAATGAAAATAGAAGAGCTGACTGCAATCTGGACACTTGGCAAGCTGAGGTAGGATTCATTCATTCTTGTTGAGAGCAGAATTAGGATTCATTCATTGAGGTAGGATACATTCATTCTTGTTGGAGAGGTGTCAGAGGTGCACATCAGTTTTAAAGAGAAAATAGCTGGGTTCCAATAATTATAGCATTGTAATTTCCTGTTTCTAGAGCTGTCATCAATACAATGACATTGCCTGCCCTGTGGTTATGCCCTTTGAGAAATACTGTAAGAAAGACTTGGATCTTGCACTGCAAAATGTGTTGTCCGTGATTTCATTCTGGAAAGAAAAACAGAACATTGTTATGCTATTTAAATGTCTTCAACATATCATTATAAACCAGCACATTGTTTACTCCAAAATGACCTACTTGCTGATACCAATGATACCTTAGGAACAGGTCATAGGGATTTTTTTTTTAAATCCAAACCAACAATATTGAGGTATACAGACTTTTCACTTTTTACCAAGTGGTAGGATTTCTTTTAGGACACTTTGACAGTTTTTGTTTCTCATTAGTGCTACTGTTCAAACCATATCCATCATGTTGATATGTTGCATCATACACCTCTTGCATGTTGGTACCCTGACAGGAAACTAATTGTCTAATTGTCTGTCACATTTGGTAGTGGTAATGGTTTAATAGACAAATACAATGATAAGTGGAAACTCAATGGATATCTCAATAAAGTTAATTACTTTAGCCTTCAGTTAGTTCAGAAACAAGTATTGAATAAATAAGCTTCAACATTTTTGTTTACCTGACTTTTAGATGGTAGAGTTCCTTTAGAAGAAAAGATTCATTGGGTACTTACAGTTATCATATCACCATGAGCAAAATTGTTTTATTATATATACTGTATTACAAGTGACCATTAAAACATCTTCCCCTCCTGATGTGTTCTTCTTAATAACAGACATTTTTAGTGAAAAAACATTAAATGTGCTGTTCAGCAGATCCTTTACCAACTAGCTGTGCTTTAATTAATTAATGTTTTTGAAGTAGGTAGCTGCGTCAGCATGCGTAGGCTGCAGAGGAACAAGTAAAGAATAATTTTATGCTTAAAAGAGAAGAAAAGAAGCACAACACTTCTCAGTGGAGCCTTCTATGCGTGTGGAAGGCTGAACACCCGAAGAAGGCACTACAGCTGAAACATTGTGTTTCTTTTCTTCTCTTTTCAGCATGGAATTAACCTTTACTTGTTCCTTTATTACATGATGAATAATTTGTACACTACAGTTCAGTCATTGTTTATTAATGTTGACTGGCTTTCAGGATGGAATAGCCTTGTCATATGGGACGCATTAGATGTAAGGCATTCGTGAAAACATTTGTTTCTGATTTGCAGCTCTTGCTTCTTATTAAAGGACCATACAAAATCAAACACATCAAACCACTTTGTGTATTTTTGTATATTAAAATAGGCAGGTAAATCTCAAATAACTTTGGGAATTGTTACACCACTTATTTTTGAACAGATAAATAAATTGGAATAAAGATAATGTAAATATTAATAAACTCCAGACATTTTACAAAACCTGAAAGCAGAGCTGTTTAAACTGATTTCTCATTCTGCTTTCCATTTATAAAGTCAAAGTCTGTGACTACAGACAAATATATTGACTCGTGTTATGCTCAGCAGTATAGCATAGTTAACAATGAGCAACATTAACAATAAAATAGATGTATTTGTGTATCTTACACAAACTCATTTCAAAGTTATAACACTTTTTTTAAGAGGAAGCAGTCACTATGAACTATGAAGATTAATTCAATTGTTTAGCTCTGACTGTACAGTATTTACAGTATGTAAGTGAAATGAGAAGTCTTTTTTCTCCAGAGAAGATGATTCTGCTTTTTAAATATAGTAATAAAATAAGTATAAGAAACCTATTGTTTTTGTTTAGTTTGTTTAGAATCATTCTGAATTTCAATATTACATTTCAATATTTTAATATGTACAGTGTATGTAAATACAAATATACTGTATTTATACTGTGTCCAGTTACCCTTCTTCATAGTGCCCCCCCACCCACACTTTCATTACACCCATCCAGATCAGCTGAGTTCCTCCTTGACAGATTAATTTTAATGTACTATACTCCCCTATTCTACTGCTTTTATAATGCCACCCCTTTGGGGTAATTAAAAGTATCATGCTGACGACTGTCTCATATGTGGAAAAAGACTATATATTTAATCAACCCAACAAACAAAAAAAGAAACAAGCTGTTTTCTTTTCAATTGCCTAGGTATGACATTAAGGATGACTATGTGCTCCGCATTAAAAAAGCTTCCAGCAGCGATGAAGGCACCTATACCTGCATTGCTGAGAACCGCGTGGGAAAAGTAGAGGCCTCAGCATCCCTTACTGTCAGGGGTAAGTAATGGCTCTATAAGGGTAAACTGCCCTCGGGAGTAAGAGAACACAGAGTGCAAGAAGTATTGGCTATGTAAGTGGAGAGACGTGTCGTTTAACAGCTGTGGAATTACTACCACATTCCACAGTTGCCAGTTGCCAGACTATGCTTCCTGCACCCTTTGCAACACCCTGCTATACTGTCTGCATAAGAAGAAAACTGGGCTGTTAGCTTATTGTGAAAAATAATCAAACAACAGAGCATATAGCGCAGCCACCTGCCAACACAAAGTTCTTGGCAGTAGGCTGTTGTTATGTTCTTTCTGTACACTGTAAAAATATGTTAAGTGCTACCTGTACAGGACATCTGAGTGTTACAGTTAGCTAACTGGAATGCCGTATGATTTCTAACTGGTGTTTATGTACTGTATATTCTTATATGCGTTTTTCATTCATATGTTAAATTCTTACAGAACTGTCACTAACAACTGACAGCATGTTTGGGAGATAAACACAAATCCATTGAAAACAAAGCTGGAACCATTACATTAAAATACTGACCTAAAGTTGTCAGTCACATAATATTTGTAGAAAACCTCTTCCTGTTTCATGGGTTAGAAGGGTGCTCCTCAGATATTGGGAAAATGTATTGTGCTATATAGAACTGTAGAAACCTAGATGGGTCTGTCTTAAGTTTCTTGTTTCTTAGATATACAGTATTAGGCCAAATATTAATATTTACTCTTGCTTTGGTTATGGATTTTTGTTGTGCAAGATGCTCATATAGAAATGCTGAAAGTACAACTAGACACAATCTTGAAAGGTTTTTATCATTATCACACAAGGTGTGGAGACAGTATTGAATTGGTTTTCTCATTTTTGTTAATAATTTGAAATGTTAGCATTCAATTGAGCTATGTTAAGAATAAAAATATTACAAAGTAAGCTTTGAAAAATCCCACTTAACTCCATTCTTCTTCTATGTAGCAGGTTACAGTGTAAGGCTCCTGGAAGTTAATGGAATATAACACTGTTGCTGTTTATAAATGTGGTTAATTATTTATTTTCTACAGCTTAATGTTGCACAAGGAGCAAATGGAGTTCCAGATGCCTTCCATTGTTCATGTAATCCTAATTCACTTTGGGTACACAGTACCTCTGTGAGACAGATACAGATGCCATTTCACAGTTTACTGGTGCATGCTGGAGGTTTTCTGTGGAGGTGGAAAAGGTTAATAAAAACATTTTTGCCGTAATCTCTCCTCATTTTTCCCCATGCGCATTAGATCAAATGTTCAAGGTCTCTCTGGAGTATTTTAGCTATACAAAAGGAGTGGGGTCAAATGATCTACAGAGTCGGCTTCAAATTTCAGGCTTGTTTTGTTTGAATGCATGGATCCATACTGTACATTACATTAATCTCCTAAATATAAAATTTTGGTGTGACTTGCAGCATGAGGTTGCAAAGTCATGCATAGAGCTGTAGTGCAGATTTAAATACAGACAGCTGTACTACATGGATAGCATGTATGCCATCATCGCATACTCTTGAGTAGGTAGATAGAATTTTATAACAAGTTCATTCTGCTTAAGGGATTGTTATGTAAACCACACAAACAGCAAACCATAAATTTGATGAGAACAAAATGATTCTTGTGACACACTCGTTTGTAAAACTCCAGTTTTGTAACCGTCCAGGTTTGCTGGTTACTTGTATTTATCTGTGTCAATAAAGCAATTTGTTAAATTCAATAAAAAAATATCCCATAGAATAAAGTTGTCAACAGAGAGCCTATTTAGCACAGGATGAAAAATCACAACATTGCCTGGCCATGACCAATTTTTTTACCTCCTTCAGTGAAGTTGAGTCCAAGCAAACCATAATTATAATTTTGAAGTTTACTAGACAATTTTCCAATTTGTTTTATAAATCATTGTAGATTATTGACCCCAGCCTCCCTTTTACCTAACAGCTTTTTGCAGTCTGAGCACTGAAGTGTAAAAAGGAATTACAGTAAAGATATCAGATTGTTATCATTTTATGTGAAAAACTGAGTAAATTCTCCTAGTCTGTGGCGAATTTTCATTTAATATGGATGCTGTTACAAAATATAACCACCAGGTAGCACTGTACACTAAGAGTACCTGTAATTTCAAATAGCATTTTTAATTCACCATAGTGTTTATATTACTGTAAATTTATAGACCTATTTTTTCAAAGCATTTATGGTAATTTAAGGTAGTAGGAAATATTGATATCAGCAAATGCATTCTTCAGCAGTGTAATTAAACCATTCCAAGACCTCCCTTGCAGTGGATCTTCCCATTCAACCGCCCTTATACTGTACAGTAAATGTATTTTTAAACAAGGCTGTAAATTGTGCTCATGAGATAAACCCCTTCAAGTTGTGATGACTGAAAGTATTGTTTTTGGCCTCAGGTCTTTTTTATAAGACTCATCAGATCTCTCCTCCTTGAATTGTGTACCCAGCACATGCCATTCATTCTGACTTTTAATTTTTCTTATTTTTTTGTTTGTTGTGTTTTGTTCTTTTTTATGTTCAACACACCACACCATTGTTCTGTCTTCAGCTCGCCCCGTCGGTAAGTAACCATCCTTAAAGCCATTCTTTTTGTGCATGGGCTTCACACAGCGCTTGAAAGTGGGTCTCGTTAATTAACATTCATCATTTACTAACTGAAGCACAGCAGCACAGTGGAGCAACGTGCAACTGCCTATTATCACTAGTCCTTTCCAGTGTTGTACAAGAGCAGACTACAATATACTAGAAAAATGTCCTCAGAGTGTTTATTACAGTGTTGCTTCTTCCATTGCACTAACCTGTTAATCAACTAAACCAGATTCCATCAATATAGAAACACCATCATGGACAGGTTGCTTCTAGACCATTTGTCACTCTTTATCACAGACTTCTGTCTTCAATGTGTTGTTTAGTGTCTGTCAATATGAAGAGCCTTTTTAAAGTACTTCTTGTTGCCATCAGTAATCATTTTAGCCAAGAAGAAAATGGCTTCATTATTAGACTTAGGCCACTTCACAAATCAAAGCCAAATACTTTGTTTTTAGGTTTGATTGGGTTTCACTGCATTCTCTGTTTACTCATAAGCTCACATGAGAATGCCTTGATATTTCTGAGAAACACCTCAGTGTAGAGTATTGATTGATTTTAAAGTAAAAAGTCAGAAAAGATAATGATATTCTAAGGGAATTTATTTTTCAATTGAAGTGAATAGCCAATGGAACTGAATTAAACAAATTTGAATGAATGAAAATTAATGAAAAGATTTTGTCCGTCTGGGGAAATGTTGTGGTTCTCTGTTTGAGATGAAAAATCCTGGAAATCTTGGAGTCAGTAGGAAGGATCTATGATGCTAAAGCATCTTGAGCTATAGCATGATTGTCAAGAATTATTAGGTTTCAGAAAGCTTTGAAAATTAAGGATTCAGCCCATCCACATGAAGGAGACAGTAATTGCTTTATGTCACTGAATAAAATATGATTGAAAGAGAAGAAAAAAGGGTAAGGGGGGAGGGGGGCTTTCAGAAATGTATTTGTTTTAAAAATCCTCACACCCCTGGGCAGATGTGTTCCATCATGAATTAAATATCTTGTCTGATAAACCGTTTCCTTGGAGGTGAAGATGACTTTAATAAATCATTAAAGTCGCAAGTCAAATGAGCTGCCACTTTTAGAATCTGAAGCTCAACTGAGTAACTGTCATACTGCATTCTATCCAGTAAGGGTAGAGCTATTGTTTAAACATGCTATTGTCTAAAAACACATTAATTTAGTGTTTCCTTTTGATGGCTGTGTATATTGAATGGTAAGGGCTAACAGGTGAAAGCATTAAAGGTTTTATTTATTTTAGGATGAAGTGTGTACCTCAGATTGGTGGAGTATATTTTATGTGCTACTTTTGTAGACCCACTTGAGAGCAGCTTGTCTTGGCGAAAGGAAGGAGGAATGTTTGCCAGGAGAGATGGCTGTGCAATTTCTTTTTCTGCCACAGTCCCACATTTACAGGAATGTTTAAATGGTCTGTAAAGAGAAGGGAGAACTAAGCAGAATTTCAAGCTCTTCTGAATAAGCATCTGTGGGTTCATGACCATTATCCTCTTAACAAATGCATGTGTAAAGAAAGTGATATACTAGTTGTAGAAGACTGCTAGTTTGACACTGTATAGTAATACCATCTTTAGTGTCCTCTGAGATACATCAAATTGATCCTCACAAAAACAGGACAGTATTTCTCCGGTTCACTATTATGAAATTATTAGATGCCACTAGTTAGGAAATATGATCAAGTTTTCTATTTTTATTATTTTGGATACTATACAACTTCTAGACAGCTCCTGTAAGAAGTGTATTTTTTTTAAAAAAAAATAAATTTACATTTTTTAAATTTGAATAAATGAAGGTTGATTCTTAACTCAACATTTCCACTGCAGTGTTTCTGGTTTCAGTGTTACAGTGTTTTTCAGGTACAATTGTTCTTTTGCAGCTTGAACACAGATCAAGTATTTAATAAGTACTTATAAGTCCAAGTATTTTGCCATCACAGGCGTTCATATGTCCATCATTCAAACTTGCATACAAGTAGTTCATAAAAGGAAAGAGTAGAAATTTCCTTGTTGTCCACCGGCTTGTTTGTAGTTTTCTGAATCTTAAAGTGCATCTAGGCAGACAGAAGGGGAAATATTGGTGCCTTTAATAATCGTAGAAACAAGATTTAGTGCTCTTCTAGTTGTGGAAACATCAATTAAAGGAGCTTAGTATCTGCACGCAAGACTCTTTGTGGTTCTTGGAGTCACAACTACGGTAATTGTTTCTTCTGCATTGTTTATGTTCCTAATACAAGAAACTTGAGTAAAATCAAATAGCTCTTGTCCAGTTCCATCAAGAAAGGATGTCCATTTGTCCATAATACAAATGCATTTACTTCAGCCCAGTTTTGAGAAATTGTCATGATAATAAAGTCAAAGGCAATAAAACTGAGACTCTTACTATATTGTGTAAAATATAAAATGCAATTTATGGATCTGAAACATGACATTATATTCACTACTATGATTCAGTATATTTTTCAAAATAATCTTCAAGTGTGACTATATATTGGAAGCAATAGAAATTCAAATGAAAAAATGTTTTGTGTAATTTTGAGTTATTTATTCTTTGTTTTGTTGAAAATACGCCATGCTTTTTTTCCACTTGTTTGCTTTTTGGAAAAGAGGTTAGAGAAGCCAAGTCACATACACTTTGTAGAATGTAGTCTGAGCCTTCAAACCTTCCCAGAAGGATTTTGTTTTTAAATCAGCAAAAAATTACATTAGCAATATATTTTCCTGATTTGTTCTTTTTACTTTTCCTTCTGTTTCAAGTACTTTAAAACATAACAATGTTTATGAGAACTGACAAAGTGTGACGTTTTGCAGATAAAAGCCATTGTGCTGTGTCTGCATTTGTACAAAAGTAAGGAGATTTGTCATGGTCTTTGGTTTTCCTCTGGATTCAAAGAACAGATCCTTTGTTTACAGATGAATGGAGAAAAGAATTGGTTTATTGTATCAATCACATTTAAATACATTTGCTTCGCTGGACATTGAGAAAATTTTTAACAGCTGAAGATTGGGATTGGACTCATTTTATGTTTGTCTTTCAATAAGTACCTGAAGAGATATCAAACTCAGAGATTACAGGGTGTGCATTTTTGTGTTGGGTTACAATGAAGTTTACAGCATGATTGTTTATTCTTAATCCATCTGTTTAAAGACAAGAGATCTCACCCCTGCCCCTACCCCCCAGAATAGCAGTTGAAAATATTTGGACATCATATGCTTTTCCAGAAATGCATCCAGCAGGAATGTTTCAAAGGATAAATTCTTGTTTGAAAACTTCATTTCAAAGCAGGGACAAGGTGGCAAAGCAGTAAATAAAAATCTTGTCATGGGGGATAACCTGGGGAGAGACAAAGATAAGATTTTTTGTCAGGTGAATTTTTACATCACTTTGATACAGGGCTTGCTTTTCATGTGGCTAGTCATTTTGAACTTCACTCTTGTTGGTTTTTCAAAGTATTTCAGAAGTCTTGAATCAACATGCTGCGCCCCACTAATTTACTTATAGATTATGTTTACGAGCTATTCATCTGAAAATCGTGAGATGATGAAAGAAGAATGGAACTGTTTGAATTGCTGTTTCTAGACCTGCGTGAAACAGAAGTTAAACAAGTGAGAAGTTTCAGAAGAGAAAAGCTTTCCATAGCATTTAAAAAACATAAAGAAAAATGTTTCCAGTCCTTATTTTGTTAATACTATCTCCTTATTAAACTAACATCCTTATAGATGCAACAACATTTGTGTTCAGTATATATGTCAATATTTTCTTTTTATAATTTCCAGAGCAATATTAAGATATCCATGTATTTTGTCCTTTGTTATTTTGGAACAAAAACTGATTCCTGGCTGGCTGATTCCTATTGCTGGAGGCCAGAGCTGAGCCCACAAGATCTGTGCTTACAGATCCACCCTTTAGTTCTGCTATTTAATGGAATGATAGGTTACAATCTTCTGTAGTTAGCTGCTTGGCTGTGGTCATCATGCACTTTCTGCTGATGTTTTACATTGTACAGATTGTATACCAGTAGTATAGGAAAAGTAACATTAAACTACATAACCAACAAATTTTGTAACTATTAAATGTGAAAGCACTATCCTTTAATTAGGACGTTGTTTTCAACATATTCATGCAACACCTAAGTTCACGCAGGAAAATTATAAGGAATCTTGTTTAATATAAAGCTTCTTGTATATCTTCAAATTCACTAGTTACTGTGTTTGAACTATGTGTTTGAGATAAAAAAGTATTTGTTATTTGTCAAGCTGCAGCCACTGTAGATGACAGGCCAAGTTCAAAGCACAAGGCTCAGAAAGCATTGTGAATGTTTGGAGAGATTCAGTGGGAGCATGGCTGAGGATTCGGTGTGTGAGAGATGAAGCAGGCAGAGTGGAACTATGAGTGATTAGGCAGAATATCCTGTCAGAGTGAAAGTGGGTAAAGTTCTTAAAGATGGAGAAAACTGCAAGGGTAGATCTCCAGCAGAGCAGGGCTGCCTGGAGAGCAACAGCATGAGTTGGCTGGAGAATTCAGAGCAAAGCCAGCAGATGATGCCTTCAGAGTTCTGGAATTGTTGAACTGGGAGATGGTTGCTGGATTAGTGGTAAAAAAAAATAAGAAAAAAAGGGATTAACGACAAAGTTGATGTGTGTGCGGATATTAGCACAAGAAGGTCTTTAGCTCAAAGTTGAAACACTAATTCAGAGGGGAAGGACCTTAAATAGCCGGCTTAATCGGCAGATTGACTGCCTGATTGAAAAACAAGCAGTCTTCAAGAAACGCATCCCAATCTCATTTGCACGGGGTTGGAGAAAGACTGAGAGTCTGAGAATGTTAGAGTTGACCCTGGCATGTTGGAACATGAGCTGCTTCCAGCCCAGGCGTAACATTTTTCTGAAATGCCATCCTTCGGACAGTAAGATATCGTGTCAGATTTTCATCACCGGGCAAATTACTAAAGCTAGGGCAAATATTTAACCAGCCAGTTATTATGTTCAAAGCTGGGGCAAGATCTCATTGCACTGCAATTTTATTTTGGTGCCACACTTTGGACAGTATTTCAGCATCAGTGACTGTGATCTGCACATTACCATATGAAATCTGGTGAAGTTGTTTTCCTTGTGAAAAGCCATCTCAGGAAGAAGATCCTCAGGGCAAATAATTCTGCAAGTTACAAGTAGGGGGCATCATGCAGGAACAAAGAGGTTCAAAATGAAAAAGACAAGAAGCATACATAACTGCTGTACTAGTCTCTATCCTAATGGTTACAACTAAAACTCATTTGGGCTGAGCTCCTTCCTTTAGCTTTATTTCACAGATGTACCTGTATCTTTGCATTTCCTGCAGCACTGCTTGTGCCCCTTCAACATTGTTCATTTAGATTTGATTGCATTTTGCAATAATTTTGTTCAAAATCACACCCTTTTAACTTGTAACATACTTTACCATTGGCTCAGCCCTTGCAAAATGATTGTTAAAATTGGATCCATTCTCTCTCTCCACTTCACTTTTGAGTGAGTTAAAATAGGAAAGGTCTGGGGGGGGTTTGCCAGTGGTGTCCTGGGCCATTCGTGTTGTGTTGGAGAAGGACGTATCTCCTTGATCTGCTTCATCGTTAGAGCCTGTTTAATTCCTGCCACACCATGATAGCCCAGGCTGTAGAGACAACGAAGAACATGATACGATTAACCTCCTGGTCCCACCGCCCCTGCTCCCACTGACCTGACTCCCAGTCGTGCTGAAGCCTTGCTTCCCAGTTCCACTCAATCACCTGATTACCATAACATCCCACACTGCCTCCGTACGCCATCATTAACATAACAGAGCTTTACTGTGACAGTGATTGAAACCGGCTTTTGCTGAATGCAGTATCAAAAGCATACCTTGCCAGAAATCAAATCTAATTTAAGATTCATTCACATTATTCAAACTATTTTTAATTCCTCCCTTCACCTCCATTCAAGCCAACACAAAACATAATTTGTTAGAATTAATTGTTCTTCACCAGAATAAAGAAACACACTACCCACTCTTTAGTGGTCTATCTGGAATATTAATTATCTCTGCCCTCTTTGTTTAAGGTTTGGCAAAGCTTATGGACCATTTGGGATTTTCAAGAGGGATATTAGTTCTACTACAGGTTCTAATTAAGTATTGCACCATTTCTGAGACGATATACTTTAAACGTGTTGAACAGTACAGTTAACAACAATTTATCTGTTGGTTACTTAGGATAAAAAACAGAATTAAAAATAAAATGTATACAAATATTAAGTTAGGATTTAATAAAAATAGCTTTAACATTTTTATTTTGAGAAACAGTAAACATTGCCAATCAGTTGTGGATTAATTTAAGATGTTTTAGGTGTTTATATGCTAACAAGCTGTCATTAGTAAATCATTTACAACATATAGACTAAAATATGATATAGAATGATTTATGTGGACATAAATGGCAAATCGTGGTGATTACATTATGATATTTTGATGATCCAGTTAGAGCTGTGGCTTTTAATTATTTAATTAGCCCTTAAATGGTGCAGTTGAATAATTCCAACCCTGTCAGGTAACAATGGAGATGGAGAATATCTTTGCCCTGTTGTAGAACAAATTAAGTCCAGTGGATCCAGCCTGATCAATGGCTTTTAATTAAAATAATATTTTTTACAAAACAAGGAAAGCACATAAACTCTGAATTTACAAAAAAATCTAAGGAGAATGGCAATTGAAAGTTTCTAGTTGTTACTTTCAAAGACTTCAATTTTCTTCTCTGCAACATGCAATTAGGTGCCTTTGTTTCCTATGAAGTATTGCCAAAATGACTTTATGAATCACTCATAGGGTTTGCTTAATGCATAAAGGACAGAATAAAGTGGAAGGATTTGGATTGAAATCAGGGGAAATTATTTAATATGATGGAAGAACCACATGTACAATTGTACATTTGGTTTTGTTAACCAGCTTATTAAAATGATATAGCTGCTCCAAGGAAGATTGAAAGACAAGTGAGCAGAAACGCTTTCAGTCAGGAAGAAAAAACTTACGGTCAGAAACTACATTATATTATGTGGTGACAGGAGACACTTCCCACTGGGAATGTTGAATGTCTGGAACAAAGTGACCAACTATATTTTTGAAACTGATTCTCCGGATTTTTAAAAAAGACAAATGAACAAGATTCCTAGATTACTTGACTACTAGAAACCAAATGACATATGCCAGCTGGCCTCTTTTCCTTTGTAACCTTTCATATGTCCTTGTGTACATTTGAGACGTTTGTTTTACCATGCATAATTTTAAGAATTTGACTTCCTAGTTGACTCTGGTTTCACAGAATACTGATTTTAACCTTGAGCAGGATGCGTGTATCTCACAAAGCCAGTTTTATCTTTAGGCCTATAAAGAAACAAATGGATTCAACAAATGTTACAACAAAAGCATTTAAAAAAATCTATTTAAAATATTTAGATGGCAATCTGAAAAAAGGCGATATATGAAGGCTGATGTCATTCATTCAGTTTCAACAAGTGTTGGCCAGTCTGAATGAATGGCTAAGTGGGAAGGTGTTGTCGATGTGTGTCAAAAATGTTGCATGGAACTAGTGAAGTACTTACTGTGTGCTCACTCCTCTCCTCTTCCACTCACTAACAGCTGTGTTCTGTTTTAAACCAGCACCCCCTCAGTTTGTGGTCAGGCCGAGGGATCAGATTGTTGCGCAGGGACGGACTGCTACTTTCCCCTGTGAGACAAAAGGAAACCCACAGCCAGCTGTCTTCTGGCAGAAAGAAGGTAGTCAGGTAAGCTGCATGTCCTAGGAGCCGTTACTCTACAGCAGAGTGTCTTTAAGTAAGTCCTTTGTAGCCTTGAAAACTCTTGACCCTTATAAAAGATAACACATGCAGATTCATACTCTGATTTTACAGATCTAGCATGGTTTTACTTTAGACCAGCGCTTCCTAAACTCTTATAACTTGCTGTACACTTTAAACATCCCAGACCTTTAGCAGAAAACAATACGATATAAAATAATCAGCCCTAACATTCAAGAAAAACATATACTTCAAACTAAAACATAGATTACAGTTCAAATGATAAATATTTAACTTCACTGTTTGGAGTAGAATTTCAATGGGAAATGTTTGTTACTATGAACAGATCTGTTTAATATTTGGTTCAATACTGGAAAGAGCTAAATAAAGTTCCTGATCCACACTTGTTAAAAGTGATCTCCTCTGGTTTTTCCAATGATGTACCATAAATTCTAATGCTTTATCACTAAACTTTTACCTGGCTTTATCACAGGAATCATTTATAAGAAATGTTCGTATACTCTAGAATCTATTCTAAACTACACTGAAATGCTATGTTGTTATAATTTTAGTTCTGACACGAATTTTAGAGAATGAGTATCTAACACATACTTGGAGGCACACAATGAGTAATTCCACTCTCACTCGTGGAGCACAATTAATCAAACAAACCATTTTGACACCATTCTGAAGGAGACAAAGACTCCTTTATTACTGAAGGAGATGTGGATTTGCAGCCATCTTTAGAAAAAACATGATGGTGTTCTCATATCAACAGGAATAAAACCTTTAGGAGCATCTTTCAGGACAGGATTTACAAAGTGCTGTACAACATACACAGAAAAAAATCAATTTAAAACAACCTTAAGTCAGTATTGATGAAAAACTCAGTACTCTGAGGCAAGGTGGTACCAAAATTTGTGTGTTATAAGGTATTTCTCAATTTTCAAGGGAATGTAGTCTAGGAACACTCAACACGCAGTCAAAAGAATAAGCTCAAAGTTGATTAATTAAATATGAAGGAGTAAATCCATTTAAGCTATGAAGGAGCATATCCATTCAATGCCTTGTACATCAATATCGAAATCAATTCTAGATTTGACAGAAAGTCGGTGTAGTGAAATAAGAAGAGGTTCCACATGACTGAATATCCTATATAGTTAGAACACACACAAGCAGCACAGTTTTCAATGGAGAGAAATCAATCTGTTATTTTTAGAGGTACTGGCCTGTATAGCAAACAATTTTAGACAAAATCATGCACCAGGTACTAAACAGCCAACTCGCACCGCCGTGAAACAAAAAACAAAAAATTTAAATCAAATTCTAACAATATGTCCAAATTTCCCTGCTGGGTTTTGTTCTTCTGTCAAATTTAAAATTAAATTACTTGCCACTTGCCATTGATTCTCTTTTCAGTCTTTTTGCTCTTATTTTTCAGTACCATGTCTTTTGGATCTTAGTATTAACCTTATAATTCAGTGGTTTGGATGAGTAAAAGGGGGAGGGTGGCTCAGAAGAAAATACTAGAAACACAGATACATGTAACTAATTGCATAGCTTCAATGATAAAATCTAACACGCTGAAGGAAGTAAGACGGCTTGCTTAGGAGAAGGGTAGCATTGGGTTTCTCAATTTTGTGTACTCTTCTAAAACTGATGCTCTGAAAGTAAAAGACAGGGTAGTTTCACATCAGAAACATCACAATCTTTGCTTTGGGTTTTGAAAAATCTTATTAACAAATCATGTAATTGAACCTGTTTCCATTTTTTCCCCCCAAAGTGCAGGTCTATAATCAACAATAACTGTTCAATTTAAAAGGTAGATATTTTTTGTAGAGTGCTTTAGACACGATCTTACCATTAATGCACTGCCTGTTTGATAAAACATTTCTTAAACCAGAGGGTATACAAAACATTCTAAAAGTTTCAAAACAAGAAATAAATAATCTGACAATATTTTATTTCTTTGTGTTACCATTTACAACTGTTAAATGGTAGGTAGAAAAGACAAAAATCAAGTGTATAAAGGAAAAGCAAGTTTACAAAAGGCCTAATGTGACTGACTTTCTAAGTCATTCTAAGACTCTGCCAGAACCTGTGGTAGATTGTTTCAAATAAAAGTAAAATGACTTTAATCCCATATCAATTACAACAAGATAGAACAGAAGTACCCCAGCTATGCCTGAACATGCTGGAAGTAATACAACAAGATAAATAGACAATAGTATCTAGATTAACTTGTTTCCCTATTGTTCATCATTTATTGGGTATTCTACATGATATTGCTAACACTGGTTTATCTGTAGTGTATACTTTTTTAACAATAAGTCCTTTTGTTCCTTTTTATGACAGTAGGAATGGTGGTTTCCGTAATCAACATGACCCTTATGGTAATGAAAGCTCTCATCTCAGAAAAGATAACCAGTATAAATAATTTGAACTCATAACAATGCAAACAACAACAGCAGTAATTAGCCAGCTAGGGACTGTAAATATAATTTTGATTCAGGCAGCCACTGGTGAAGCAGTTGAAATGTATGAGGAAGTTTCATTTCCCAACCAGGAAAGTAAGTGGCACTCAAGTGATAAATATGGTACTGTAGGTGGTATTACTGGTTTGCTGAGAGAACAAAACAAGAAATACTTCAAAACCATAGAAACTTACTTGCCCACATGGTGGAAAATATACTGGAACTCTTTTTAATGCAAAATTTTTGCATTTTATGAAGGCTTCAGCTAGAATAATTAATTAAATTGGTAATTAAGTAATTAGACTGAGAAAGCCTTTTTTGTCGCACTTGAATCTAATGAAGTGGACATCTATCATCCAGCAGAGGGGATAGGGTAATTAAAAAAAGCTACATAATTTGCAGCATTAGAGTCATTAGATGCAATTTAATCTGGCTAATGTATTTTCCTGTTCCCCTGCACTAAGGACTTTGTAAAAAACTCAAGGATAAGCGATGGCAAAGGTGAGATTTCACTCAATGTCAACACATCTCCAATTGTGTATTATTGCCAGCTGATTGCTGTCTGTTGCCAGTGTTTATTACAAAGTACCTAAACCGATTAAGGTGCTAAAGCTATAGCCACTGTGAATTGATTAAACCTTTTAGGATAATATTCCTGGCTCCTGACTAATTTAAATCTTTCATTAACAGTAGTGTTAAAACATACACAATGAAACTAATGCAACTTATCAATTAAAAAACAAAACAATTAGCTTCTTAATAATTGTTGTCTTTGATATGCTGTAGGAATGAACACATGACTGCGAGTGTTACATGTATTTTTCATTGTACTGTAAGTGTTAATAGGCTATTCAGGGGTCTAGACTGTAAGCATTCTTCTTGTGGCTCTTGTTCAGAGCAACTATGCATCAGGCAGATGTGTTTCCTCTGTACTTCTTACCAGATTTGTGCTGGCAATAGTTTAATTCAGCTGAGCCTTCACTTTATGAGTTGAATTAAACACTGGAAGTACAAATTACATAATGTATAAGAAAGGATCAGAGAGGAACCAAACTAAAATAAAGCAAAGTTAGAAAGTATTGTACAGCCCACTGCTTTACTTATATTTTAAATAATTTGTAATTTTTTATGTCTTTATTTAAGGCAGGCACATTTCAGTGAATAATTCAATTGGATCACATTCATTAGAACATTATAGACCCGTAAATAATTCTAAAATATTAACATACTTAGTATTAATTTTTGAAGAAATGCATAATACAGTATAAAACTATACATAAATCAAAAAGTAGAATAGAACAAATTTCAGCTCAGGATACACTATGAAACTCTACAATGCATAATAATAAGGATTTTAATACATTCAGTTTATCAAAGATTATTATCCCAAAGCGCTGTGAGAGAAACTATATAGTACTTTGTGTAGAGAAAGAGACCTACTTCTTCTGCTGTTGCAGTACAGCAGATTAGGTGTAGAGTTGAGGAAGCACTTCACCATTAGGGGCGCCGGGGTAGTCAGAGTGAAATTTGTTGTATTCTTGTACAACTGACAGTTGGCAAGGCAAAGCAGGTTTGGAAATCTTTTTTAGTCAGATAATATTGTCAAGATTAAAACCAGGTACCTAAACTGTACTTCAAAATTAAATCACACATAAAAATCAGCAATGCTTATTTTGAGTTATACCTGGTGTATATATAAACCTGTCAGGATGTATAAGTAAACATATGAATGGTTGTAAGTGAGACTTTGGACTGTGTATTTCATTTGGTTGGTAGTAGCTAATTGATTAGAGGATCTCTTATAGATCTTTCTTCAAAGTAGCCATGATGTCAGCTTCAACAGCATGGGTGGGTAGCTTGCTCCAGACATCCCACAAATCTCTGTATAAAAAAGCACCTGCTGTTTTCAATTTTAAAGCCCTTCCCCATATTTTCCACTCCTCATTTTCATGTTTTATAGTTGACTCTGAAGAAGTCCAGTGGGTTGTCTTTTGCCATTTCCTTTGATGATTTTCTATACTTGAATCAAGTCCTTTTGTGGTTTTCTCTGTTCATGAATGAAAAGGTTAGGTTATTTTAGCTTCTAAGCATAGAGCCTCTTAGCCTCTTCTCTTCTCTGATTTCACAACAGCTTTATCTGTTTTTGAATGTGGTGACCAAAAGTCTACACAAGTTACCAGATGAGGTCTTACTAGGGAAGTGTAGTCATAACCATAGCCATAGCCATTAAATTGTGTTGTTGGAACTATATATCAGTTTTTTAAAAAAAAAACCCTTTTTCAATTTCCAGTGTACAATGTTTACTAATTCACATTGTTTTAAAGGTGATTTGTAAACATTAAGACATATTTAGTACTTTTCATTATTATGTACAGTAGCTATGATTTACTTTTTGCTACCTTCATATAATACTCAGTACTTGGTGCAGTTGTAGCTAATTTAATCAATTTAGACAAATAATCAAAATACTTTTTTGACATCTTCATTTATTATGGCATCCCAATATTTATCATTTTTTCCCTTTTAATTGGGATGAGCTGAATTCAATACAAATTATTACTTTACTCATTTTATGTTATATCATAAATGGTTATTCACAGTAAAATAGTTTCTATCTGAAGCCAGTCAGAATTGAAGAAAGGTGACTTGATTTTTTTATGTAAAATAAACCATATATTTAAATGTACTATTTTGAATTCATTTCAAAGGATATAAGCCACATTATGTTTGAAACAAGGTTAACTACTCTCAAAACAAAATACTGAATGTGGTCAGGCCAATGATGTGTACAATGGTAGTAATTCCTTTTGTTCCTCTCTAGAACTTACTGTTCCCAAACCAGCCCCTGCAGCCCAATAGCAGGTTTGCAGTGTCGCAGAGTGGTGACCTCACCATCTCGAATGTGCAGCGCTCAGATGCTGGGTACTACATCTGCCAGGCTCTCACCGTTGCTGGCAGCATCTTGGCCAAGGCTCAGCTGGAAGTCACGGATGGTAAGCAACTTTTGTCACCAGTCAGTCCTCTAAAACATTTAATTTAGTAGTTATAATCCTTCTACAGACGAAATGCAAAAAAAAAGACTGGGCTGCATATAATCTTGAATTTCAACAGCTGGCGTCAAATATGTCAGTCAATACCACTGAGCCCTATCAATAGGATTGTTAATTCTACATTATATGACAAACTAGGGATCTTGGCTATAATTCCTCGATGGCTTTTGACACATCTGAGTGGCTTTTTGTTAGTATTAAGGCTTCTTGTTATTATTTATGTTTTGGGATGTACCAGTGTTACTTGTCCAGAGATTGTAAGATATGTTTCTAAAAGGTTATGGCTGCAATAATAAATATTTCTTCAAGTAGATTTAGTCAAGCATTCATTTATTTTTGTAACCATTAAATAAAATATAAATATTAAATTATATATATACAGTACTATATATATATACTAAATACATGCAAGCTTTCTAACTTCATTATTACACATAATAAATATATTAACAAATATGCTAATACATATTAATATATTTCTTTGAACTGGTGTTTCTTTATTCTTTGATACTGTCTTATCCTGTAATACATTTGATAAGGTTTCAATTTTAAAGTTTGAGGACAGTGTCAAGCTTGAAACCAACTCTTTAATTGTGCATGTTAATGTGATTTAACATATTGGTTTGACTTCAGTTTTCAGACACTGTTTAAAGAAATACTGTATATTGTATTTTCTTGTTCTGTAGAAAAATATTGTCCTTAAATCTTAAAACACTGAAAAAAAATGAAAAAATGATTTGATTGACAGTTGCAAGCAAAGCCTTGATTCAGGAAATTCCTGTCCACTTTGGTTACTGCTCCTTTTGTGAAGCTCTGTGGTATTATAAGCAATACCTGGAAGCTGGCAAAATCCCCTGGCTGTTAGGAGATGTGAGTTTCCATGAGGAAAAATTCATCACAGGTGACAGCTTCAGAGAAATGGACTGACATGCTGAAGTTTCGTGGAGTGAATTTAATGGCTTCGCTTTGTATTCTGAAAACCTGCCATTTTTTTATGACAACATAGGTTCATGTCTTTCTGACCCCTCTGTCTTTCTTAGCCATTACACTTTTCCCTGAGTACTCTTCTGGAGATTACAGCCTAACCTTCTCATGGTGACCCCTGGGTGCCAGCTTTCCTGTTGGATAAAATGATCCATTTTCATCCAATGTGAATTTACATGTAGATTAAAAGGTCATTTAAAATTAATGGAAAGGCAGTATTTTTTAATATCTGTCCATGGCATGTTGTGATTCAGTACTTCAGTCGTGATTGGAATAAATAGGACGGACAAATATTGGTGGAGAAGACATTGAGCTGTTAATGGCTGCACCTGCTGTTTCTGCTGTGATTTACGGCAATGAGGCCACAAGGAGTGAAGCAGGTTCAAGGAGAGTCGTAATGAGAAATCCCTGCTTCAGACAGTCAAGGCCTGAGCCTGAACCCCCCCTTGCTGTGTCTCATTCCTGAGGTGAAAAAAGAGAAATTTGCAGGTGACTTAGTTGTTTCATCGCAAGTCCTGGTGCTCTCCAGGTTAGTTCAAGTATAGTAATAACTTTCCACTTTATTATTTAGCTTCCTTTGTGTCCACACTGTGAAACGTTTGTGTCCACTCCTCTACAAACATGTTTAAAAATACAGCAGAAACTGTGTGGCTATATTAAATGTTAATATGCACATAGAAATGATCATACTATCATACCTTTACATGTAGGTGTATTAACAACATAAATGGCTGCTCATATGTATTTCAACAGATGAAGAGTCAACTAGATGAAGAGTCAAGAATACAGATGCAGATCACAACTGGAAATTAAAAGAAAAGGCTACAACATGAAAATTACTATAAATATTATGTAATCTAATAAGACTCCATGGCCATGCATACAGAATGATATGAGATCATTTTTACATTTACCATAGTAGTGTTTTTTGTGCTGGATCATGAGTAGGCTTATGAGTTTATGGGGGTTTAAAGGTTTAAGACTGTATTTGATAAGTTTCTTCACCTCATATTACTAAAACACCTGTTGTGCTTCAGGTAACTAATAATTTTTGTTGAACAAACTTATATATTATAAAAAGTGAAACTACCAATACATTTTAATACATTTAAAGTGGAAAGCAACATTTAGGATACCAGGTAACAGATATGTTCTACATTAAACAAGCATACTGATTACTCATTATATTTATAAGAGAATTAATTTTTTCCCATCTGTATTTGGAAACAAAATAGAAATTTAAGAGTAGTTCAAGTAGGTATCTGCATCAGCATGCATAGGCTGCAAAGGTGCCACACCTGAAGAAGGCTCCACACCCAAAACATTGTGTTTCCTTTCTTCTCTCTTCAGTATGGAATAAACCCTTTACTTGTTCCTAATAATTTAACATGCTAGAGTAGACTTGTTGGTGAAAGGTGCAGGAACATTTTAGTGAATTAAATGTACACAGATAAAATAACAGGTCATATTGTGGCTATGTATTGCTCTCCTTCAAGAAAATAAAAACAACTGATATTTTTATTAGATGGCATTTCATTATATAGAATGTCCCCTGGTGCGTTTGAAATTCCTGTGTGATAAACACACATTCAGTGTAGTTCAGTGAACAATTTGTTTTCACTAAACTAAAAAGGTTTAGAAATCAGGTTTTGACACTGAACTTTACAATGGTCTACAACAGTGGCTCTAAATCATGTTCAATCACCATTAATAATTGCTTCCAGTAATTAATCTGCTTGCTGGTTTAGACTTTTCTGCACTCGGCCCTTGGTTTCAAAGCCATAGCTCTAGAATACAGTTGTATTCATCGGAGGATTTCTCAAAAGATAGGTACTTTGGATGTGTTTTGCGATTAAGTATTGTGAGTACATGAAATAAAAGCGAATCAAGAACACTTTCAATGTTAACTCCTTTTAAGCAACTATATTTATATACATTTTATTTTTTAATATGAGTTTTTGAACTACAAATGATGCTTATGAGCTTAACCAGGGTCAAGTAAAGCACTGTAAAAACAGAATAGTCAAATACTGAGTGATACTGTACAAACCTCAACATGTTCTTTTACATAAGAACAGGAGGTAAGACAAGTCAAACATAGCAAGAAGCATAATCAGCATTTCTCCAAGAGTGTTAAGTATCTGACAGAAAAAGGTTCTGACAAAACCAAAAAGGTCACAGCTAGACAGATTTTAAAAACAGATGTAATGATGCTTATTTAAACAATTTAGCTAGCCATATTTCTAACAGATTGAATTGTGCACCGTCTAAAAGAGCATATCATGTTTATTTCCTGAACAAATCATTATGAAAACGGAGTAGCTTGGAGAAAGCTGGAAATAAATTAAAAATCAAAACAGATTTTTGCAAAACTTTCTGGTATCGCTCAAGTCAGATTGATTGTAATGCATTGTACAACTCCCATATGAAGAAAACAATGAAGAAATTTGAGTGGAAGCTCATATGATGTTCTGGGCAACAGGAGTAAATAAGCTGAGTAAATAAGCTAATAATGGAAGGGAATGGAAATGGGAATACTTTAAAAAGACTTACCATTTTGAAAGGAAATATGAAGACTTTTATTTACTTACAACTTACAACACTAGACTTTTTTTTTTGATCCCGTGGGAGTACAAACTGCAAATGTGTTAAAATCTAGGTAGAGAAGAGCCATTAATTAGCACCTCAGACTTCACCATCAATAATCCACACTGTAAATTAATGAATGTGGTGTGATACCACAAGACAGAACACATTAGTGAGTTGTGAAAAATAAACTGTTTCCTGATTGAAAAAATAAAAAATAGCTAGAGATCATTTTGCACAATGAGTTGAACAACCAGATTCTCCTACATCTTCCATCTTGCAAATTGTTTTTACTAGATGTTTTTTTTTATTACATTAGAATTTTATAAACTATCTAAAAACATACAGTTTCTTGGAGATTCTCCTAAACGTAACAGCAATAAAATTGTCCACAGGTCATTCGGTGTCCCTTAACTCCTTGTTGTTGATTGCTGTGTTAACCTTTCAACTTCAATGACAGAAAGTGCCAGCGATGTTCATTTATCCAGAATGATATTGGAAGTGTGCAAACATTTAGATGAAGGATGGGTTCCACTTCTTCAGTGATAATATTGTTTTAAAAGATAAAAATTCAGAATAATTTCAAAACAGGACCTTTTGCAACATTCTAAAAAGAAAAGGCAATCCCAGAGTTAGACTTTCCATTGTCAGAAAATCTAGTCTGAACTCAGAAATGAATACCAAATCAACAGGCTGAAAATAATATATTTCAAAGTAAAATAATGAATAGATGAATAATTATTACGTTTCCAATTCCACCATGTTCTTCAACCATTTATAAGAGTGAAGAATATTTCTGTGATCTTAAGCAACTCAGTCAAAAATTATCTTAAAATAAAACAGCCTTTTCTACAGGTATGAAGTAGTGGATTTTGGCTCCTAACATTCTTAATATCATGGGATAATGTATCTGAACACTAACTGAAACTTGAGTGCCAGGACTGGGTGAGAGGCTACATACTGTATGTGATTATTTCCCCAAATAATCATACTAAAGACTAAATTCAAGACCTTTTAGTGTCAGAGTCTGTTTTAGCACTATTAAAGAATGAAAACCTTTGGACCAAATTTGTTGACTAGCCTGTCTGTTATAGAGTAACCAGCAGTATTTTATGTCTTCGCATCTCTTTTCTCAGTTTTGACAGATAGGCCTCCGCCAATTATTCGCCAAGGCCCAGCCAATCAGACACTTGGTGTCGACACTGTGGCCTTGCTGAGGTGCCAGGCATCAGGAGACCCCATCCCAAACATCAGCTGGTTAAAGGATGGGGTTAGTCTGCTGGGCAAGGACTCCCGGATGTCTCTACAGGATCTTGGAAGCCTCCAGATCAAAAATGTCAGAGTAAGTACTTTTTGTGGCTTTGCAGTAAGGTCTGTTGTTATTACTGTAAGAAAACCTTACCCAATCCTCAATTTTATTTACTTTTGTCAAAAGTCATCAGCAAGGTGTTCCAAGGAGTAAACTAAGACTCCATGCTTTGCTGTCACGTCCAGCCACTGAACTGAATAGAGCCTACCACTTTTTGAGATTTATCATTTATAAGCAGTTTGGAAAAGGAAAGTACCTTTTTATGATCAAGTTAAAAATAAAGCAATAAATACTGTATATCTAAATTAATCTAATAATCACCTTCACTTTAGTTTTCACTGGTTTCCTACTTACTGTATATCAGGGTGACTTCGTGTAATTCTGAAATTTCAACTGAAATGCACTATAAATGTGGGCTGAATATTGAAATGCCAGGACTCAGGATTGAAAAATGTTATATTTTACTGACAAAATGTTAGCAGATCAAGAGGATACATTTTGATACATACTGTGTACAGTTTTTTTTTCAAAAAAGAAAAACACGAACCTCACATACTCTGATTAAACAGAGAACAAAATGTTGCATACCTTATTTGGTTAAATTAACGTGCTATGAAACTTTTAGGTACATGGATGACTTTGAAAGGAAGTAAACATGCATTATATTTTTCAAGTATTTTTCTGCAATTGTTATGGATATTTCTCTAACTTTGGAAATGCCGTTTACCGCAGTTTGCTTCATCCCCTGCCAGGAATAAATGGTCTGCCTCAGTATTTATTGCCTTAAGTTCTATGCTACAGTTTGCATTCAGGAAGCAATTAAGGTCTGAAACAAATGCTCACGCTCTTCCTTAATCCCAGACTGCAAGTTGACCTTTTCCCTTTCAAGCTCCCATGTACTTAGAATCGTGTCACAGGGTGATTTTCATTTGGATGTAGCTTAGACATAACTTGAAAGGACAGCAGAATCATATTGCTTTTAAGAGGCGAATAGGAAATATTGATTTCTGTAAATTGTTTGATGCTATCACTTAGTGAGCAATGTCTATAAAATGTAACTGACAGAACCTTGGATGACTTCCAGCAATAAGATATTGTGGTGTGGAGGGGTTAAGTGCACCAGACTGTACAGCGGATGCATGAGTCCCTGGAAAACCAGGCGCTTCAGCACCAAGTAAATTTAACAGCTCCACACAACAAGATTTTCTGCTTTATCTATAATATCCATTACACTTGACAAATCTTTGACATTTTATTAAATAAATTGAAGAGAGGCAGAGGGAACAGAAACAACAGCAAAAGTACAGACATTGAGATGTGCCAGCTGTCATCAGTCTGTAGCATTTCAGCAGCCTTAAATTAATTATCCACCACCACTGGGGGAAAATGAAATTTATTAAAAAATTAATGTCAGCACTTTTGGGGCAAACTGTTTCGTCTTCGACCCCCCTTCTTTGCTCCGAAAGGCAAACACAGGCCAAGGAGGTTAATGCATTTTCAGTGTATGACTGAATTAAACTCTGCACTTGAGTAGTCATGACTTCTTGCTCATTCAAAGGAGAGCAATTAAAACAGCAGCTTGTAGATTCCTGACAAACTCCAATAACCCTGATGGGTGCAGTGGGTCATCATCAGCAGGCACTTCTGGGCCTGCTGTTTGGTTCTGGGTAAGTACATTCTGGCACTCAGGGATCAATTCTGCACAAGGAATCAAGGAGCTCTCTCCTGAGAACTGTGTCAGTTTTATCGTGTGTCACAGGTAGGAAAACAGTTTAACTGAAAACAGTGTGTAATCTTTTGTAAAGCCTTCATCAGACATCAACACTAAATATGGGCATCAATCTGCCATGTTCTCCTTTTTCTGTCATGCTACTGTATGTAGCTACAAAAACTTGTCCCTTTTTATATCTGTCTTTTTGTATATAAAGAGCCAGAACACTTCTGCATATCCTTTTCTGTAAGTTAAGTTGAACCATCCATCCATTTTCAGTTACTGCTTAGATCAATACAGGAATCAAGTTTAATTTTACAATAAAATAAAAAAAGCATTGAATTAGAATATCACTGTTTGATAAACTAGATTAGCAGTTTTAAAAAAATTCAAATCTACAGTAGATTTGGTTTCAAAAAGCAATGTCAATTACCCAAACATTTTTTCAAATAAATTATTTTAAAAATGCACTTCCTACGGCAATGTTTTAACTGTAAAGCTTTTATAATTCCATTAACTATTTAAATTAAACAGCAGTGAGGATTGGTTTAATACCCTATTTATTCATGTCTTCTTTTATTTAATCTAGATATCAGATTCTGGTGTATATACCTGTGTAGCAGCAAGTTCCAGTGGGGAAACATCTTGGAGTGCCTTTTTGGAAGTGAGAGGTATAGTATTCTCTGCTATTTTTCCCTGGATCTGTCTCAGAACTGTGGTTCTCTTTCTTACCAAGTGAAAAGAATTCCATTGAGATTTTATTCTAGATCAAAGTTTAACAACTTTTAAACAGAATGAATAAACTGAAGCCAAATTTCTGTTTTTGTACATGCAAGTCAGGATCTTTCAGGAGATTTATCCCAAGGCAGACAGTCACTAACACAAATATGCACGCATTAACATCAGGAACAATTTTCCCAGAACCCAATTAACCTACCGTTGTTTTTCTGAGCACCACTGCACCACCACGGTACTACTACTACTATTACTACTATTACTACTTCTTCTTCTTCTTCTTCTTCTTCTTCTTCTTCTTCTTCTTCTTATTATTATTATTATTATTATTATTATTATTATTATTATTATTATTATTATTATTATTATGTGAACCACAGGATAATGTGTTTGTGCAGCAAAAAGTTTCACACTTTAGATGTCAACTTGTTCCAATGAGAAATTAAAGCCTCCTTCTCTGAAAACATAGGCTGTACATTTTCAGGTTGTTAATTATTTTATTTCAAAGGCTGCATACTGCTGCATTATTCCACTCTATCAAAGAACAGTACTTTAAAACATAATACTCTGGGTTTTTACACTGGAGTTGATTTATACAATGAATTAATCTATCCTAGGCTGAGACCAGAAAATATAGTTGTATATAAATATAGTCTGTATACATATATATATTTCAGGATCCCAGGATGAAAAGGGCCCACTGCACTTTAGAGCATTACCTGTGGCTTTCAGTTGATTATATTTGTTGAGATAATCCTATACAATCAAAGTTGTTTTGGTGAGAAAAGTAGCATACATTTGACACATTATCTGTTTCACTTTAAACACATTTCAGATTAACCTGCTTGTAACATGACATTCAGATCTGCTTGTGGTTGAGTTAACATCATGCATTGCAATGGAAGAAGCAAGAGAAACAGGAGCCAATCATGACATGATATTGGTTTTGGAACAATGTGGTTAATGTGACTCAACAACTACAGTTGCAGTGGGGTTATATCTTTGCTTGGGTTTCCCACATTTATCATATTTTGACAAAAGTGATCCTGGACTAAGAGAAGTGCTGGAAATAGTTTTCACAGCTGATTGATCACTTTCACTTCATCCATCCACATATACCATAATGTGTCATGGGGAGAAATAACTGTTGGTCACCTGGGAGCTGCAAGGCCATTTGAGAGGGAATGTCATATATTCTTAGTATCTCTTTTACAGCCTCAATCCAGGTTTTCTTGGTCAACCTCTCGCCTTGACCCTGGAATCCTACTCTAATATGCTCTGTATACCAGTTGGTAGTGGCTGTAAAAGCAAGATGACTAAACCACGTGATCTGCGGTTGTTGTACATAGTGATATACTGTAGCTCCCAACATTTCTCAAAGTCTTTCATTTTTCATCTCATTTGGCCTTGTTGGCAGCTCTTTTCTCATTTCTTAGGTGGTGAGTTTATGTTCTAGACTCTGTCAGAGTCCATGTTTGGTACTGGTACCTCAGAGTAAGATTGAAAATGACTCGTTTTTGGGGATGTATGGGTGTTTCAGGAGAAGTCGAGCAAATTATATTATTTGCTTACTGTATTCTCACATCTATCTCTCTGTTGAGTCTTCCAATGATGCTCCACAGATATTTGAACTCTGACACTTGTTGAAGCTGTGTGCCATTAATGTTGATATTGAGGCTGCTGGTTATTCTGCTCACCTTCTTCATTGTTTTATGCTGATCTTCATATCATTCTCTTCACAAATTGTGTTTAGTCTAGTCATATGCAGTTTCTCTTCATCTTCATTTACAAGACTTTGGTCATCAGCAAACAGCATCTCATTCAAGGCTTCTGGTTCTGGGTTCTGGGTTCTGGGTTTGCCTGTTTGGTAATTTGGTCCATATACTTAATCAAACCAGTCTGTAGTCTATTTAAAGTAAATACATAGCTCTTCTGTTATCTTAAAGAGCTCTGATATTATCCAGGAGCTGTCCTTTCACATTGTACCTCTCCAATCTCCTCCACAATTTCTCTCTGTTTACCCTGTCAAAAACATTCACAAATACTTCTCACTCAGTTGGTATCTGAGTATCCTCTTCCTTTCCTAAAACCCATCTGTGTATCACTCAGTAAATGTTCTACCTTGTACCTGGTGCACTCCTTTAATATTCTATAGTGCTACTGTCTTTCTTCCTTTTTAAAAAATTGATATGCCCACTGCCTGCTGCTAATCTTCTGGAACCTTCTCTCCTTTCATGCCTGCTGGAACATTTCAGTCAACCGTGTAATTCCAATTTCTCCACATGCTAGAATGGCTTCTGTTGTATTTCTGTCCACTCGGGCTTTTTTGTTGTTTGGCCTGTTATAATAATAATAATAATTGCTTACACTTATGTAGCGCTTTCTGGACACTCCACTCAAAGCGCTTTACAGGTAATGGGGACTCCCCTCCACCACCACCAATGTGCAGCATCCACCTGGATGATGCAAGGGCAGCCATAGTGCGCCAGAACGCTCACCACACATCAGCTATCAGCGGGGAGGAGAGCAGAGTAATGAAAGGGATAATGGGGGGTTAATTAGGAGGCATGATAGGTAAGGGCCAATGGGAAGTTTGACTCCTACTCTTCTCGAGAAACACCCTGGGATTTTTAATGACCACAGAGAGTCAGGACCTCGGTTTTACGTCTCATCCGAAGGACGGCGCCTGTTTACAGTATAGTGTCCCCGTCACTATACAGGGCCATTACGATCCACACAGACCTCAGCACCCCCAGCTGGCCCCACTAACACCTCTTCCAGCAGCAACCTTAGTTTTTTCCCAAGAGGTCTCCCTTTCAGGTACTGACCAGGCTCACATCTGCTTAGCTTCAGTGGGTTGCCAGTTGTGAGTTGCAGAGTGATATAGCTGCTTGTCTAATTTACGATGTTAATATCGTAAGGTCTTCAAGTTCTGGATAACTACATTGAAAATAATACAGATTTTTTAGTTTGCCTGCTGGATTTAGGACTTACTTGGACTTACACTAAAGTACTCTCGCCATCTTTTCCTGATGTCTTCCATCACTGATGGGAATTCCATCCTTATCATTTATCACCCTTGTTGGATTATACAGTTCACGTCTTAATCCTGTGTCTTTCCCACTCTTTTAAAATTCTCTGGTTGAGTGTTTACACAGTTCAGTCAGCTCTTAACCTTCTTAACCTTCTTCCATGATAAACCTTTGGAAATTTTCACAATTCTCTTACAACAGTATCTTGTCTTGACAGTCTTTATTTTACATAATCGTCCTCCAGCTTTGTTTTCACCCATTCTTCTAACCTCTTCTTTTCTCTGATAGTTTTTTATCACCAGGCCATCTGCTTTATCGGTCTTTAATCTTGTTTCTTTATTCCGCATACCCTTTTGAATGTTTCTATCAGAGTGTTCTTAAAAACAATCCATGATTTGTCTGCTAACATTTCTGTGTTGTTTATTTTATCCAATTTCTGTGTAACTTCTCTCTACCACTTTCATTATTTCTTCTTTTTTAAATTTCCTCGGATCAGTTTGGCTAGCTTTGTTTTTGATCTGTATCTGTACATTCACGTGCTCATCGTGAGTGGGTAGTGATCTGTGTCAAGGCCTGTATTTTGATTAGCCTTTGCAGCTGTGATGAGGCTTCTATTTCCCAGTCTTGTCAAAATGAAGTCAATCTGAGATGACATATTCAGATTGTTCCATTTGTAAAATGTCTTTATTTGGCTACTGTATATTTCTGTCTCTAAAACTGTACTTAGGGTGTCTTTGGCAGACCAACTTTGGGTACTGGATGATATTCAAGATACTGTATATAACAGTTCCAAACATTTTTTGTGCCTTCCTCATATTCTATGCCTTTTTTTCATTATCTTTTTTGATGCAGAATCTGCAGGGGCTACAGTAACCAAGAGCCACAATGTGAATGATCTTCCCGGGCCACCCTCCAAACCCCAGGTCACTGATGTCACAAAGAACAGTGTCTCATTGTCATGGCAGCCAGGGATGACTGGGGGCTCACCCGTCACTTCTTATGTGATTGAGGCCTTTAGGTATGTCAGCAGCCAGTTCTGATATGAATTTTACTTGGATATTATTATGTGGAAACAACATAATCTGGGTGGAACATGTTTTGGCTATTTACAAAAAAGAAATTCTCCCTAACAGCATAAAAAAAAATAGTTTATCACTCTGTTCTGTGACAAAAATTTAGTACAGATTATTTGGTCATCCATTTCTAAGTTTTATGTGTTGATTTCTGACCTTCCAAGTGATGTTCATGTTTTTTTAATTTATTTGTAATTCCAAATTATGTTTAGCTGCCTTTTGAATTTTGGATAAAGTAACTCAGTGGGTATGTGAAATCTGTTTAAAAGTGTACTACAGTTTTATTTTTATGATGTATGAATGTTAGATAAAATGTAAAAAAATAAATCAATCTACAGATAAAGTGCTTTTCAATTACCGTTTTAAGATTGTATTTTCTTACAGCCAGTCAGTGAGTAACAGCTGGCAAACAGTGGCAGATCACGTCAAGACAACACTCTACACTGTCAGAGGTCTCCGGCCAAACACTATCTATCTCTTCATGGTCAGAGCTGTGAACTTACAGGGCCTTAGTGACCCTAGTCCAATGTCAGAACCAGTTCGCACTCAAGGTAAGGACCAATGTCATGTGTATTTTTCCAATTTTAGCTCTACGCAGGACCCTGATGTGTGTAATTCTGATAAGCATGTGTGTCTTCAGATACATATATTTCAGTAGTTCAGTTAGATACTAATACATGTGAGATAAATACTAATACTAATATGTGCAAAAGACAAGGTATGCAGTGTATATTTGGTGTACTGTAGCTTGCCTGGCTGCTTCTCAAGAAGGGAAAGAGTGTCCAGATCCTCTAAAAAGAATCTTCAAAAACATTGATGCATAATTCAAAACACTGAGCTAAGAGCAGTTCAGCTGTGGTTTTGTGAAACTGATCAAATTTTTAGCCAAAATACATGCATGTAAGAAATGAAAATTGTGTAAAACACAGGGTTGTGCTTGTACGAGTGAGTAGGTTTAGATTGTGGAGTGGAGAACCAATAGCCAAGGGATCCATTCTCCTACTGAACATATTGCTGATGTATAGAGTGTTACACTTGGTAGAGTGTATAGAGTATAGAGTGGTACAAAACAGCTCTCAATAATAATTCAAACATGCAAAACAGTATGAAATAAAGGTAATTATTTTTCATTAAATATTTTTTTATTTATGTAACCATGAAGTATCTGTCCAATTATTATATGTCTTAGGATCACTGAAATATTTCTTTAATATAAGTTATTAGAGGGATGGTATCATGGTACAGTGGTTAACATTGCTGCCTTGCAGCACTGGGGCCCTGGGATCAATTCTGAGCCTGAGCTGCTATCTGCATTTGTATGTTCTCCATGAGTTTATGTGGGTTTCCTCTGGGTGCTCTGGTTTTACACCCACACTCAAAAAACACACTGGTAGGTTAATTGGCTTCTGGTAGTTGTACACTGTCTTGCTCTCGTTGCTTACTGGAGTCTCTGACTCCCATGTGTTCCTGAATTAGAAGAAGTGGTTAGAAAATAGTTGGATAGAAGTCATTATAGTTCATTGTATCAGTTATACATCAGCACTAGCCAACCTTTCACATACCTCACTCCAGTATAGAAAACACCTGAGTCAAAGCCCTGGTCTTTTTCCTATTGGGAATTTGTGGAAAGATTTGAAAACTTAGGAAAGTCTGAAAGTTCAGGAAAGCACTAATCCGTTAATAAACATTTAACACCATACAGATTTTGCTGACAACCACAAACAGCTGTGGTACGTTAAGGATTTACTGTGCCTCCAGTTAGTTTTACAGAGTAGAGTAGGCCTGAATCAGATTCTGCTGTCCATGATACTGTGATTGTAACGGTTGCAGGGTGAGGCTCCCATGGAAAGAGTATTTTAAGACCCTATGTGAGGCGGTAAATCTGGAAAGGAATAGGGAACGGAGTTGAGGGAAGACACACAAGGTTTATTGGTGCTCAAAGTGATGATAGGGAAGTCCATGCAGAAGCGAAGGGTAGGTATCTATTGCAACAAATCCAGGGAGGTCCACAGGAGAATCAGGAAACAGTCCATATGTCCATTATCAAGAAATTCATCCAGAGACAAAACAAGAACAGACAGATGAAAAAATAAGAACCAGGAATACAGGGCTTTGTACCAGGCCCCGGGCTCAGAAAGTCAGGGTGGCTACTACTGGCCTATGTCCTCAGACTTCCCCATGAAGCCTGGTGGTAGGCGGGCCATGAGAAAACCATTTTCCAAAGCTAAGCCCTAAAGGCTGGGGGAAGAAAACTTAAATAAGGGACTTAACTAGACACACCAGGAAGTAATCATTAAAATGGCTATCTAGATCATCAGTCAATTAAAGTTTATTTATCAAATGCACAACAATACAGCATGCAGAAGTAGTTGCTGGTAATGAAATGTCTTTTCTGCGAGCTCACCAGGGGGTAAAAATCACAAAATTAAAGTTACAAAATAGGTTTACATAATAATACATAATAATGCAATAGAAATTGAATAAAATAAACTCAGACAGAGCTCAATATAAATAGAGCTGTGATGTGTCCAGGGTGTATGCAATATATTATGTCCAAGTGGTGCAGTATGCCGAATACAATGAAAACTATATGTCCATGTAGCCATTACGGGTGATTTGATGAAGGATCTGCTGCATGGTTATTTAGTCGTTTTTTTTGCCTGGAGGTAGAAGCTGTTCCGTAATCTGTTAGTCTTTGACTGAATGCTTCGATACCGTTTACCGGACGGTAGGAGAGAAAACAGTTTGTGACTGGGATGACTGGGGTCCTTTAGAATGAACCTGGGCTTCTTAAGACATCTAGCTGAGTACATATTCTGGATGTTTGGTAGCTCACAGCCAGTAATGAGCTGTGCTGACTTCACCACCCTCTATAGTACTTTGCGATCCGGGGTGGAGCAGTTCCTATACCAGGCAGTGATGTAACCAGTCAGGTTTCTCTCAGTAGTGTACCCGTAGAAGCTGGCCTGGATATGTGGTGGTATGCCAAACTTCTTTAGCCTACGGAGAAAGAGTAGGCGCTGCCATGCTGTTCTGACAACGATGTTGGTGTGGTGGGTCTAGGTTAAGTCCTCTGTGATATTAACTTCCAGGAGCTTAAAACTGCTGTCCCTCTCCACTGAAGTCCCATTGATGTAAATAGGTGTTTGATCTCCTCCCTGGTGTAAAATTAGAGCGGATCCCTAGAGAGGATTAGAGCGCCCGCTGGAGGAAGAGATGTCGACCGTGACAGTGTTCCCTATAGCAGTATACGACTGACACCTTGCACATTCTAGTTGACTGCACCTATATGCCTTATATTGTAATTTCCTCTGTAATTTCACTGGGATGCCATAGGAAGAGTCTGATAACTTTTGCAAAGCCATGTATTCCCTAGACCAGTGATTCTCTAACTGTGGTACGCGTACTAGGAGTGGTACGTGGAGTGCTGCCAGCTGGTACGCCATATGACCCTGGAACTTTGTGTGCACTGAAAAATCGGGATGGGTTTTCATATTTTCTATTTTAAGACGTGTCGAATACACAGCCTACGTACTACGATACAGTGCACGCTAATACTTGAGTGGACACAGAGCTACAATGTAATTCTATTCCATTCTATAGGAATGTGTGCTATGAACGTAAGTTTTTTTTTAAATACAATTGGTCACTTATCTCCAGCAAATAAAGAGGTAGGAGAATGTGCGTGATTTTGGAACAATGCCAATGTTGTAAACACAGGAATGCATAGAAATGCATGCTAGGAACGCTGGTAATTTTGTGAGCACAGGAAAGCGTGATAGATAACAGAAATATAATTCAGAACTGTTCTAGGTTAATTTGAGAAAAATACACCGAGGGTCTTTGTGTTTCGGTCCCATGCGCATGAAATAAAAACTTATTTTAACTTCTGAGACAGAATCCTGAAATGGGGAAAAATGCAAGCTTGTGGATTGCAAAAGCAGGTAATCCCCAAACTATTTTTGAAGAACCTTATTTACTTTTGGCAAAAGAGCTGACACCTATTATGTGTGGAGAAAAAGCTGCTAAACAGCTCGACCTGCTGCCCCCTCTGAAAGACACATAGAATTATTTAAATGGTGGATGATATTAAAAGTACACTGGTAGAGTGCGTTAAGATGAACAGATGCTTTTCACTGCAATTAGATGAGTCTGTAGTTGATTTGGCCAATTCACTCGTTTACGTTAGATACGAGTTTGAGGGTACGTCCCATGAGTACTTTCTGTTCTGTAAACCGCTACCAACAGGAACTACAGGAGAGCACATATTTCAGCTTCTAATGAATTTATTGAAGAGAATGGCATTGACTGGATAAAATGCGTCAGAGTTTGTACAGACAGTGCTAGAGCAATGACATGCCGACACAGCGGTGTAGTTGCACGAATTGGAGAGGTTGCTGCAGAAATTAATGGACACATTGCAACATCCACCGCGAGACCTTTGCTGTCAAGAAAATGCCTGACGATTTAAAACCTGTTAGACTCTGTTGTGAATTGTATCCACGCTCATAAAATGAATTCACATCTGCTTTGCTTGACTAAATGGGCTAACTCCTCTCACTGAAATGGGGCTTTTTTATTGTTTATTTTTATTTGTTGTTGTTCCTGTTTTTTCTGTAAAGTGCTTTGAGAAGCCACCTTTAAAGGCACTATATCAAATAAAGTTTATTATTATATGTGTGAGTGTGTGTGCGCACACACACGCTCATGTTGGTTATTGAGAATTTCTGGGGTTCCTATGAGAAGATGACTTGTAGGTGGTACTTTAGTATGCTTTGGTTTGATCAGGGGTGGTACTTGGTCCAAAAAGTTTGAGAACCACTGCCCTAGACTATGGACTTCCTAGTCTCAGGAAAGCCCTCCCCAAAACAATTACCTTTTATAAGATGGCAAATTCTTTGACTTGAGGTTTATTTTATATATTTTTATGTATGCTTAATTCTTTTTATGTTTTTTTTTGCTATATTTGTGTATGTAGTGTTTTGTGATGATCCTGGATAAAATTTGGTTTATTGCTAAAAAACAAAAATAAAAAACTTTGGGGAAGTCAGTACAGGAGAAAATGACATTACTGTTGTTGAATTATCCAGCGTCCCAAAAAACAGATTTGATCCCAATAAATTTCAAGAAATACATTCCATCTTGAGGTGATACTTTTTCCTGTACATCATCAGTATAATCCATTAAACTATATTTAAATAATTATATGCAATAAGGATTGGATGTCTAGGCTCTGAAATGTATGCCTGAAATTGAAATTACAACCCAACTAAGATTAATTATTATTACAAAAATGACTCAATTCAGATAGAGGAACATTTGATTAGGGCTGCATGCAGATCTTAATCTATGTATTACTTCATAAAATACGTTTTGTGTTATTTTGTAACCTCTGATTAAAGTCTCTTGAATCATTGGCTAAATCATACACCATTTAACTTGAGATAGAGTGGATATATTTTTTCATTTGGCAGTATTACTATCTTGATTAATTTGTAAAACCTTGATGCCGTAATTTAAAAAATACTGTTAAATATGCTGTTAATAATTTTAAATTTGTAATATTCATCCAGAAGATTGACATAATCCTGCAATTTATCATCATTGTCATAATATAATTTTAATTATGTTTTTTAATACTTTTCAAGAAATTTACATCATCTGTGTTTTATTATTATCAGTAGCTAGCAGTACACATTGATATTAATCTAAATCCTTTAATTTTATTTTAAAAAATATAAGAAAAGAAATGTTCAGCAGCATGACAAGTACTGGAGGTCCCTGTCTCACATTATTGTTTTTTTATGCAATCTGTTCAGAGCTCTGGCTAACACTTTACATAAGGTGAATTGCTTTGCTTCCTGTGAGCAGTGTCATTATCCAAGGAGTTGCATGTATATATTATGACCAAAAACCCTCAGAAAATAAAGCCATATACATGTATGTTTGAATTAATTGTGGATTTCTTGACCTGGTACTACAGCAGTTTAGTGTCCATCACCTTATTTTAGATTTACATTAACCCATCTGCAAGAGACTGATGGGTTAATGTGTTTAACATTTTTGTGAGCCACCACAAAGCAGACAGCAATCTTGTAAACCATAGATTTTATTTTATCTTTCAAGTTAAGAAATTAACAATTGGCCTGTAACTGATGCTTGTTTATTCCAGATTTCTCAGATTTAATTTTTGTCTGATTCAACTGTAGTTGTCACATATTTCTATTGTCCCTGCAGACTCTTTGTACACTGTTCACAAATATGAACTTCTAGTACAATTTATTTTGTATAAAATTATAATATAATGTTGTAGTTTCTATGCGTTGATGACAGACTTTTGTCATTTAAACCCTTGTTTTTTTGTTTGGGTAAATTCTTAATTCAGCCAGAGTTCTGTTGCAATAGCAGCATAATCAAATGTATGCCTTGAACATATCCTTACTGCAGGCAACATGTGAATCTATGAGTGTTTCAGAAGCTGTTAAGTGATATACTTGTGACCCTCTCCTTTTGGAAATAATGTGGAAATAAGTGCACTCATTTGTTAGTTTAACATCCCATTCACTAGATTTGGATTTGTTTAAATATGCTATATACAGTAAATTGGCAAGTTTTGGAAACAGAAGATGATCAGGTCATAACAGTGCCAACATTTGTTGTTTTTCTAGAGGGTGAAGTGGGTAAAAAAATATTTTTCTGTCTTTCATGCTTATTGTAGTTTTACAAGAAATAGTGATGCAACAATTAGTTTTTTGGGGGGTGGTGTGTGTTGAGTATTTACTTACAGTGTGGTTTGGGTTAACCCATCTACAGTAGCTGAGGGCCAACCTCCTGGCTATAGAACAATGAAGATGGGACCCCCATGAAGAGTGAGGAGGGATGTTTGAGATGAAAAGCGAAAAAGAGGTTGATATATGTTCAATGTGGTGAAAAGGTTATTTAGGCACATTTGACTTTTCACATTTCACACCAAGTCCTTTTTAACAAATAACAAACAAAACTTCTACTTTTCCATCATTTAAAAAAATAAACAGCCAGCATTTAATATCTTTGTGTGAAAAAAAGGAGAAAGAGCAGACACGTTTCTCCCACCAGTGCAGTATTCAAGCCATTCATACCTCAACATGCTGTCAGTTCCACAGTGCCTGACAGGTGCAAGGGTATATCTTTCACTGATGCTACTGCAAACCTGTTGGCATCTAGAAATCATAAGAACCACTGTGTGGAGTTCACCCCTTGTTTCAGTAACGTGTGGCACCCTCTTGAGTCTTTATCAGCAATAACTTGAATTAAACATTTCCTGTAAGAAGTGATTGGGCTCCAACATCACCTGGGTGAAATCCTGGCTTACTCTTCCTTACTGCTTCTACGCTTTGAAGTTTGAGTCTCGTATGCACCATTCTCTTTAGGTCCTGCCACAGCTCTATGTGGAGTTTAGTTCTGGACTATTACTTGGCCATTCCAAAATCTTATTATATCCAAGTGCTGTTTTGTAAACTTGAGCCATACAGCAATGTTCATCTTGAAAAGCAGGATTTTCATCCTGCTATCCCTCAATGACTTTTACCACAACTACAGAGGATTGTACATCCCTGAAGGTATCCTTGGGGTTCTCTGAAACTTCTAGGAGCATTATACTGTCTGGTCTTTGCAAGAAGTTGGTAGGATAGCTACTGGTGATTAGACTGGTAATATTCTTGAATTATCTTCATTTGTTGCTTGTCTTTTTACTGTAGAATGATTTATTTCATATTGCTGTTTGGAAATGGCTTACAATCCTTCCCAGACTGAGTGTCACAGATTTCTCTTGATCTGGGCACTATATGTTGCCACAGACCCGAGTGCTTAAGACCAAGCTCACAAAGTTTCTGATTTTATATACATTAAGAAATCACTTCCTGATGGTCAACTAATCATTTGCACATTTTTGTGCACCTGATTTTACATATCCTCTTAATTGAAATGGTAGATTTACTTTTTCACACAAAGGTATTGAATGCTAGCCGATTTTTTTTGTTGTGTTATTTGTCAAATGAGGTGTCTACTATTAGGACTTGTTGAGGACTAGGTGAAGGTCAAGTATGTCTAAATATGTTAAACTTTGAAATCTTAAGGGGTTTTATTGACTTTATCACCACTCTTCATATAGTTTTGAGAAAGTATGTCGGGAATGATTATGATTATGTGGTGGTGAAAGTGGTTTGATTGTTTTGGTTCCTCCCAAACTTTGATTAAAAACTATCAACTCAACAACTCTGTCTTTTTTTTATTCTTTTCCAGATATCAGCCCCCCTGCACAGGGCGTGGATCACAGGCATGTTCAGAAGGAGCTAGGAGAGGTGATAGTGCGACTCCACAATCCTGTGGTTCTCAGCCCCACCACAGTTCAGGTCACATGGACGGTGAGTAACACTGAGCGTTTCTCATCTGTTAAAGAAACCTCCTTGTTCTAAAAGAACTATAGTTATACTATCTTCCTGATGCAAGTATTTCAGCCTGTGAGTTGGGTATTCAGAATTACATTCTATATCAATTTGTTTATTTTATGCTCGCCTTCTTTAAAAAGTAATAAAGATGGAATAAACAAAATAAACTTTAACAGGATTAAAGTAAAGTATTAGAGTAAAGTGGGGGGGAATTCTCTGGAGCCTGAAAAATACTTCAAACTAACATCAAAATGGCTTAGGTTCATAAGACCCATAACACCCACAAAAAAGTTTATTGACTTTAAGTGTTTCTACCAATTTCTAAATGTGCGATTTAGAGATATGATGAACATTTTAATGATAAAGTAAAGAATAAAAATTAAAGAGCAGCAGGTCAGAGACATAGATTTCAAAATTCTTCATGCTAATCTAATTGTCCAGCACAGAAGATTATTGTAAATGTGAAATGTAATGCGTCAGGTGTATCTCTCTGACTGCTAGTATAAAGTATAGAAAATCTTTTCAAATACTCCTCCTACTGCAATTTTATCAAAATGTTGTATCCAGTCCTTAGAAGTACTTTAACTTTCATTAATTTAATTTAATTGAATTAATGGGTTTAGATTTTTTTCCTATTAATTGATTTTTATAGTAGAAGAATTATTCTTACATATGTCAGTAAAAAGGGGTTCAAAAAGCCTTTAGTTGCCTAAAACATTCAATTAATGAAAAGTTGAAACCGTTTGGCTGATTTATACAGCCTCTTCAGCTGAAAACAGCTGCTTAATATCCTCCTTAAAAATCCAGCTCACTTCTTTCAGTGTTAACAAGCTATTACATTGAATTATTTCCCTTTTTCACTGCATAAATTGAAGTTTTCTCAAAGTAAATGGAGCTATGTTTAAAAAAGCCGGCACTTATCATTTGCAGTTTTGGTTGTGTTAAGTCTGTCTTCGATTTTGGGCAAATTGGTGTTTATTACCCTTTGTAGTCTGTGTGTATTTTATGCTGCATATTTCAAATTCCTTTGGGTTGTATTGGAGTCAGTGTCTGGTATTAATGCAGGCAGCATGATAGGTTTACATTTGTGTGTGTAATAGAACCACATTATTTATTATGGCAGATTTGTTTACATACGTGCATTGGAATATTTAACATTATTATTCAGAATTCACAAGTCCATATATTATTTAATACATTAATTTTTGGAATGGTGGAATCTGAATTTTTCTATTCACTTTTACATTAAGTTAAGTCTAAGATTCGCAATGCATGTAAAATAGAAGGTGCTGATTTTAAATTGATATGGCAAGGATAAAACACTCAATAAGGGTAGTATTCATTAATTAGAGTATATTACTACAATCTAATGAACCATTTGTAGAAAATTAATACAGGAATACTAGTAAACTTTGTTACTCCCTTACTTTTAAACTAGCATAGGAAGTAAAAAAAAAAAATTACACGTATTTTAGAGAAAGGTTCAGCTGTATTGCCAGAGCTTAAAGTGCTGAGATTAAATGAATATTTGAATCTTGTAAAATGAAAAGAAAAACTGAAAATATGAATACAATAATATTATGTGCACAAAGGTATGAAAAGGCTATTTTTGTGAACTCCGAGTCTATAAATATGTGAGAATAGAATAACAAATGCTTCAGTACCCTGTTTTTTCTAGACAAGGCTTTCTTATTGTGTGTGGTATTATCAATCACCCTACTTCTTTCTACTTCCCATTAAGGATTTTAAATCATGCTTTATTTAAGGACTCAATCCTGTAACAAATAAAAGGTAAGGTCTGTCTGTGGTAATGTAATGCCATACTTTACAGCTTTTAATTGAGCAAAGGGTGTCGGATCTGATGATAAAAGGACCATTAAAAATGTAACAGCTTTTCAGACAATCATACACTGTTGATATATTCAAGGAAAATGGGCAGACGTGTGCTGTTAGTAGATTATTTCCCTGTGGTCAAATTTTTTTCAGTTATGTGCTCTTTAAAGATTCCTTCGCAACTTTGTAACACATTCTCAGATTTCTTTAGCTCCAAAATCGACTACATCCGGCATCACATTCTCTCCACAACACACACCATTTCCACACCTCCTGCCTGCTTGCCCAACTTTCTGGATCCCTTCTCTCCAATTTCTCTGCATCCATCAGTAAACTGGTTTCACATATGAAATCCACCACCTGCCTATTAGATCCCATTCCCACCACTTTATTTCAATCCTGTTCCACTTCTCTCCAACCCATTGTCCTCAATTAAATAAATGATTCCTTGAACGCTGGTGTTGTACCAATGGTCCTTAAAACTGCTGCCATTACCCCTGTGCCAAAAAAGCTTAACATATCTCTGGGCAATCTAAACAATTTTTGCCCCATCTCAACTTTCCCTTTCTGGCAAAATTCTAGAACATGCTGTCACATTTCAGTTACATAACCACCTCATTACAAATAACCTTTTCAATCCCCTCCAATCTGGCTTCCGACAACTTTACAGCACAAAAACTGCCCTGGTCAAAGTCACTAATGATCTTTTAATAGCTTCTGACCCTTGTTCTCTTTCTATTCTCATTCTTCTTGATCTCAATGCTGCTTTCGACACTGTTAACCATTTAGGGATATTTTGCATTCACAGGGACACTTATTAATTGTAGCAGTAAGTCACAAAATGATTCTTTGATGGCTATTAGAAAACCGACCTTGCAGAATAGCTCGGCAACGCACACATATGGATATTAATATACAAGAATACATTTATAAATTTATAAAATGTGCATATAAACATAACAGATCTTATAGTGAGGGTTAGCAGAATACAAAAGGTTTATATTCAATAGCGAAGAGTTACAAACCAAGAGGAACATACACTCAGTATACCATTCATTTATAGTGAGCTTTAATAACAACTTTTACACAAAATACTCCAAAGCAAGTACATCACTCATAGGAATTAAATTGATATCAACTGGGATTGAGGTTACAATTGAATTCTCGAGGTGTAATGCAGAATGTTGAATACTCATCCAATCTGTGTGGATTCAGATCTCCTGCGGACACAAGGGAACAGCAACAGGCTGTTGCTGTGTTCAATTGGTGTCCTCTGACCCGTTGCCAGGCAGTCCTGGTTTGGCGTGAAGTGGGGAAGAATGAGGAAGAGATTCCTGCTGCGGTGCGCTGGCAGTTGCTCTCTGAAGACCGGCTAGTTAGCCCTTGCTTAACTAGCAGAGATTGTGCACATGAAAAGTGACTGCGGGTCCAAGCAAGTCACACTCTTTAGACGTGAAGAAGTCTGGTTCGTTCCCGATGTAGCGCTAGTTCTGAATACTGATATTCAGCTGTTGACAGTTCCAACCGTAGTTCACTTGTTGATCAGGTGAGTGTTCGCGGTGGGGTACTTGGTACCTCAAGGCTTGCTGCTGGGCTAACCTCGGGAGGATCCTTTGGTAACACGTGGGCGACCTCCGGTCTCAACTCTTAGAACAAAGTAAAGTCCTGGCACTCGGACACACTGGCCATTACATGATTCTCCGAGATGAGTCTGGCAATGTCCTGAAGGGGCCCCTTCTGGGCCCTGTGCTGTCTCTTTTATGTGGAGGAACTACGGTCATTCATTGGTTGAAAGTCCCGTGGGCATTCGAGACCCACGTGGGGTTACTCTGCCTACCAGTTCCTGATTGGCTGATCAAGGTGGAGGATGAGTAACAATGCTCTCTGACTGTCTCCTCTAACTGTATATTCTCATTCTGCTTATCTTGTGTATTTTTTTATTGTTGTTGTTGTGATTCTGTAAAGAGCTTTGAGAAACCACCTTTAAAGGCGCTATATAAAATACAGTTTATTATTATTATTTTTATTCTGTCACTCCTTGGTTTTTGCAGGTGGACCGCCAGTCACAGTTCATTCAGGGCTATCGGGTCTTATACAGACAAACCTCAGGACTACCCTCACCTTCCAGCTGGCAAAGCCAGGATGTGAAAGTGCCAACAGAGAGGAGTGTTGTTCTTTCTGGTCTAAAGAAAGGCGTTGTCTATGACGTCAAAGTCCGCCCATATTTCAATGAGTTCCAAGGCATGGACAGTGAGTCCAAGACAGCTCGCACCACTGAGGAAGGTATGCTCAATCCTGATACCTTTTCTAAGTGCCTTTTCTTTTACCTCTATGCACAGCTTCAAAGTATTTTAGTGACCTGGGTCCTGAAAGAATTTGTACAATCTTTTACAATCCACATATCACCTTTCAAAAACAAGTAAGATTAAAATATTGGGTTTAACCAGTGTGCTTTTGACAGCAACCAGCAGCAACTTAACAAATGTTTTAATCTGCCATCGTTTCTTCCACCTTAAAGCTGTGTGATTTATTTTCCCAGATAGCACATTTCACCAAACTCAGTTTCCCTACCTCAGGTGCATCTGTTTTTGAGGCAGATAGTCCTACTGATGGTTGGCTTGTATCCCTTGTTTCTGTTCGTATGAAAAACAATAAAAACATAACAGATCTATTCCAGCAATTAATTCCCCCTCATTGTCTGGCAATCTGGTACAGCAGGAAGATATTTATAATGACATAGTGATCTTAAATGTGACAGGGCCATTTATTTTCTAATGTCTCCTCAGAAAATAATCTTTCTGAAGAGCAGTCCTTGACGTGCATCCTCCCGTAGAGTCTGTTTGTCTGTCACATGCTGAGGCCAGTAGTTGTGTTCCTACTATTACTGAGTAGATAAAATTTGTAAATTATTGTATCAGATATCTTAAATCTCAACAGAAGCATGCAGAAGTTTTGCATTGCTTCAAGATAATAGCAATTTCTTTCTCATGAAAATACGAAAATGGTGTCTGTATTAATGGTTCAACCATCCACTTTGACAGGCCATCTGGGCTACATAAAGAATGAAATATGAAAGTACTAAAAATTGACACTTGCAAAACTTGTTTAAACAATGGCATGATACACCAGTAGCTGGTGTGCTTACCACAGTGTAACAATTATCACCAATGCCCCGTTTAATAATTTAACGTTTTATTGTTCACGTGTATTGTATACTGTAGACATTTACTGTAATTATATACTGCTCAAGTCTGAAGGTGTAACTGCCACATTTTGGAGCTCTACGAATTATAATTAAATATGTTCCCAAATACCTGTAGGACTTTCTAAATGGGCATTTTTAGTAAGATCATGTGAATGAGATTGATACGATTTACTGTGATAGTAATAATATATAGTTCACTGTTAAAACTCAGTGATGGATTGAATTTAGGGAAACACACAGAGGAAGTAGACATAAAAGAGAATGAAGGAACAGTAAGAGAGGATAAAAGAGTAACAATCTATGAAAAAAGAAAAAAAACGTTATTGGAGCTAGGAAGATTTTCACTCTTTTTTTACATTGCTGATATCACCATCTCCTTTAATAAGTACAGTACATATGGCTTTTGTTCATGGTCTTGCCTTTGGCAGAAATTATACAGGAGGAGCAGGACACCATAGATTTATTGAGGATTACAGCCCTGGATTAATAAAATTTCTGTTGTCCATTAAAGCAATTAAGCTTCCTGTGGAGTGATCCACACTGATTTTGCTGAGTATGTCAATCTTTATCATCCTTTCCTCAAACAATATAGTTTAGTTTCCTTGTATGGTTAAGTATGGTTAGTACCCTAAATTTACCCATTGATACCCATTGACTCAGAATTTACAAATTACCCTACTAATTGGGTTACTAACAGTAGTAGGAAATGCTTTTAGCAAATACACATTGAGTAGAAACTTATAGCTTTGCAAAGCTCCAATTCAGTTCAGAATCCATGTTATGTTTATTAATCGTTCCAAATATAGTTGGGATGAAATTATACAATAGACAGGTTTTTGTTAACAGGTTAATTTTTTTAATAGTAAGTGAAATTGCACTATTAGGCTTACATGTTAATAAGAGAGAAAATTTCTCTTCTGTAGTAAACTCTTTTTTATAATGAATGGTTCTCAGGTTTTTTCACACTAATTCTACAAGAATAAATAAAATGAACTTGACTGTTGTGATAATAATAGAGTGGAAGTAATCAGGGTGAAGAGGTTTTAGAAGAGTCATAAAGCCTTCAGTTGTGAATCTAAGGTACCGCAGGAACATTTTTACTGTTCTGTTCTTTCTTCTGTCTTGTTTGATTACTCAGTTTCAACAAAGTATAAAAGCTTATATAGTTTTCTAAAGCAGAATGTCTTTGTGATTTTGTATTTGACCATTTTATGCTTCATTTCTTATTTAAAAGCCTTTACTTTCATATGTTGTACCCACAGTAGTAGTGTGGACCTATATCTGAAGACAAACCACAATTCAGTGTTTTAATGGAAAAATGAATTTGGTGTGTTTAAATCTTATCTGACATGGGGTCTATGTACTTGAGCACAATACAGAGTCACATTATGGCAGTGATGTATTTTACAGCTAATGTACTTATTAACAGCTGGTTCATTACTGTACATGATAACAGAGTGCTTTTAGGTCACATATGCATAATGCACTGCTTTAACATGCACACATTAACTTTGAATGACATTGTAGTGACAAGCCATTATGTTGACATTTTGTTACTGTGAGAATCTTTACCCATGCTTCCACTATTAAATAGGTGAGAAGCCTCCCAGAGCTATCGTGCTTGAGATAGACTATTCTATTTTTTAGAGCAGGCATTTGTCACAGTTTGGTGGCCATTTATCTTCCACTTCCTTGGCTTGTGAAGGAAACAAATGGAGTTCTGTTTGGTTGCATCCTGAAAGGATGAGCAGCGATTTGGAGTCTTACGCAATCTGTTGGGAGAGTCTGAGAGCTAGAATAATGGACCTGTCAGGAATCAGCCATGGTGTTCGTTACAAGCCAGCAGCAAGGGAAATAAGAAAACACTTAAAAAACTATTATTTTTCATCATGTGCCTGTTTCATAAGTGCTGTCCTTCCAGGCAAGTATTTTAATTATTAAATGGCATTCTAAGGCTCATGTTTTGTTCTCTGTGATACTAAAAAGAAACTTGAGGCTGATGCGTCCACTCAGAAGAACCTTTGACTTCACTTTTGCTACTACCCACATTAATTTTTTTATAATTGCATCATAACTCATCTGAGAAAGAACTCACGAATAGAAACTGGTTGTGTGTAGCCAGTGAGAATTTACTTCAAATACTCTAAAGTTTTTTTTTAATCAGATTCCCAAAACACACTTTACAAGCTGGTATGCTTTCTAAAAGCTCAAATAGAATGCCTGAGCTAGGCTCTCCAAAAGCTCTCCAAAGAGTTATTCATTAAACAATGGAATGGAGACATTTAGCAAGCTAATTAAATATGCATATTTTTATTCAAGTGCTATTATTTTTTAACTATGAGCATTCACAGTTCTCTAAAATGATAGTAAAATAAATAAGATTTTGCTTTTCATTTTCATATTGAGTTATAATATGCAATTTGCATTGGTCCAAAATAGTTATTTCAGATTATTGTATCTATAGTTCCACTGAATATTTAGCTTTCTTTTTAGATATGATCTTAATGGTATTTTAAAAAAAACTTGATTTGCAATGTTTTAAATGTTAGTATGCAAATTCCTAAATAATAGACTACTGTGCGGTGACTTGTTCTTAGACTGACAGCTAACTGAGCCTTTGTCACACATTGCATGGAAAAAGGAGTTTAGCTTTATTAATTGACAAGCAATACCAAACAAAAATGCTGATGTTTACTGGCTTCTGCATATTCTTACTTGCTTCATTTCACTCATCACCTGGCCTCTCTTCAGAAAGGCATTTTTCAAAGTTGTCAGCCCAGTACAGCTCATGCATATTCAGAACCATGGCAAGGGTGTACTCTTGCCCATCCACTGCTTCCATTTTCCCTGTTTTAGCAAAATGAACGCTCCAGCAGCTGGATTAATGTCTTCATTCTCTCTGCCTGGTATAGCCCCAAGCGCTCCTCCACAGTCTGTCACTGTCCTGATGGTTGGAAACCATAACAGCACCAGCATCAGTATCTCTTGGGACCCGCCACCTCCAGATCACCAGAACGGGATAATCCAAGAGTACAAGGTATTTTTGGGAAATTGATCCAACTCCCTCTCCCTTGACTAAATCTCTACTGCACTCCCTCACTATGCACTGGCTATTTTACCTATTATATATTATGTTATGGTTTTACATATCATATTACACTGTGCTTTTCTCCTGGTGGGATGCTGTGCTTTGAAGGGAGACGTACTGCATCCTGAAACACATTTCCTCAAACTAGACACTGAGGATCTGTACTGTTAACTCACAGAGATGGATAGGTTTGACTTTGGTTTTCTGTGAAATCCATTGGCAGAAAGTTTACTTTATGAACTTCATGAAAAAATGAGAGAACTGATTTTCATATGTAATTCCCCACCAAGACTACCCACATTTACCTTCACAGATGAGATTGCACATATTTTGGGTGATATCCCTCACTGAAATGTTTTATCATTGTTTTTTATTAATATGTATGGCACATTATGTGCCATAAATTTATAAATGAGAATATGTATACTAAAATTATCTTTCAAAATGTAAGATAGAGATCCTCTTTCTCAAAGCATTTCTTTAGGTATTTAGAAAACAGGTTTATAGCTCTGTGAGATTTGTTGATTTACATTGAAAAGTAGAACTCTAATTTCTTTTGTCTGTTTTTAGATCTGGTGTCTGGGAAATGAGACTCGCTTCCATGTCAACAAGACTGTAGATGCAGCAATTCGCTCCGTTCTCATTGGAGGACTCTACCCTGGGATTCAATACCGGGTCGAGGTGGCAGCGAGCACCAGTGCTGGTGTGGGGGTTAAAAGTGAACCACAGCCTATCATTATAGGTGAGAAAGATGCCCTCTTTACACTTGGCCTGCTGTAGATTAAAGTAGAGACATATAGATATTATATTAGATAAGCCTTTTTCCCTGATTAGCTATTTGGAATAAAGGACCATTGGTAGCTGTGTTGAACACCTTTTACTTTTTACCATCACTCATAGAGGTAGGCAACACAGGGAACAATAACTTAACTCTATGTAAAATATATATACTGTATGGAAAAATGTCTCATACACCTCATTGAACAGGTAAAGGATTGAGCAATCAAACACTTGATTTTAAATTCTTCTAATGTTTCTTCTATTGTGAAATCTTTTTATTTATACAATGCAAGCATTGATTATATTTAAACATTATACTGTGCAGTGCCAAGTTAAAGATTAACATACCAGTTAATGTTACCTTGATGATATTTGACTTGTACAGGCATGCCTTGATATTAGTAAATAATAATAATAATTAGTACCCACCTCACAAAGTGTTGTACAAACCTGCATGGTGAAATGTGACCTCTTAGTCATTCTGGTGGCAATGCATTTACAATAGAAATAAACAGAATTCCTTAAAGTAGGATGGGCACCCACCACCATTTTGTCAGTTTTGTCAAAGCAAAAAAAAACAAAACAAAGAATCAATCACATAATTCTAAATACTCATCAGAAACCAAAAAAAAATCAAATTTGGTTGTTAGTATTCAAGTGACAGTACTGCTAACATGGCAAAATGGTCATCCAACTCTTTGCAATATACAAGCTACCATTGTCTTGGAAAGCACTGCATCAATTGACTTAAAACTAGGCTTATTTTCTCAAACCCACCTAGAAGTGCTTTAGATTTTCCCCTCACTGGTTGAAGCAATAGTTTAGATGGCCACATCATGTCATCACCTGTATTGTTTCCTGCTCTTCTTCAAGAACTGTTTGGTCAAGCAATCCCAAACATAAGTAGGCATCCTTCCAGAGTAAATGAGAACACAAAAATGAAACAAATGTTTTGTGTATTATAAACCAGAATGGGTTTCCTTCCCTTGGTGATTTACATCCCATATGGTAAAATGCTACAGTGCAAAAGCTCCTTGGCAATTAATCATTGTGACTGGTCTCACCAAAACTCTGAAGCTAAGCAAAGTTTGGCCTGCTCAGTATTGGGAAGGGAGACTTCAAGGACAGCTGGTTTGCTATTATAGGTGAATAGTATTAAGTAAGTAGTAAGAATAGTAAGAGCCTGGTCCCTCTGATGCAGCATTTCCAAGAACAACACTACAGTGAATGGGGATATAGTGCTACAGGAGGTGCAGTCCTTTGGAGGAACCAGAATATCATTAACTTTAAAGATCTTTAACAGAGATGTTAAACTTAGGTACTAACGTATTAACATACAATGCAACTTTTTAAAGTTCTTGGTTTAATTCCACTTGGGGCTTGGACACACTGGCCTACCTACAATATCCTTTAATTGAATTTAGTTAAGTAATTTCTTTACCTGATCTGATATGTGTCTGCTGGAACAAAATAACTGTCCAGAGGGTGCTGCACATCAGAGTTGTGCAAAGTGAGTCCTGTCCTATATATTAAAGCACTTTAAATTTCTTTTGAGATGAACAGAACAATATGCATATAATAAATTCTACTTCCATACTTGGTAGTTGTATCATTTTATTGACAGTATGATAAACATATGTCAAAATGGGTCTGCTGTTTAAACCAAGATGGCTGCCTGACTGACATTTTGTTCTTTTGCCGTCATAGAAACCATTACACCAAATAACTTGAAAATTTCAGGTTTTGTCACAATAAAACCTGTTGCAGACTTGCACCACATATATCATTACCTTCTTGGAAACAAACATACTTCATATAATTAACTCACTCTTTAAAAACTTCAAACTTGGAAGGTTCCACTCTAGTTTTGCATATAGTTTACATGCAGTTCACTCACACCGTATTTGGAGGCCTTCAAAACTCATTACAGCTCTCTCATTTATATATTTTTGGAAAGCTCATTGTATAGTTTTACTTTATAATTGCCCTAATATCATCAAATGATAACATCTTTAAAAATCAGAATTATTTTATCATATACAATTAATTAAGAAATAGGTAGGGAAGGACAACGATCTCAAATAACTCTTTAACTTCCCACCAAGAAAATCTGAAATAACAATGCTATACAGATGTGTACAAATTAAATTGAGTAAAAGATTTTCCCATTTGAGTTTCACACATTTGCTAATGAATGCAGTGAAGCTGTACAAACAGTAGCTGCAATCTTTATATATATATCTCTCTTTAAGGCATATGGGCAAGCTGTAAACAGTATAAAATTATTAAAATATACAGTACACCACTGGAAGTTTTTTTTAACTTGTTGTATTTGTACATTCTCTAGAAATAATTCCCATTTACTGACTATCGTTTTTTTTTATCTGTTCAGCTGAAGCCTTACTGTGCCTGCAGCCTGATAACAATGTGGGGCACACAACAGATTCCACTTGTCTGTGTTTAATTTATGGAAGCCCAGAGGGAGGGGGAAGGGAGTTTGCCCCAGCGTGGCTTTATTTCCCCTGTGCTGTATCAATGATCCATTTCAATATCCTCACCATACAGATAAACAAAGTATCTGTACGCTCATGTACTTGTTCTCTGAAGGCAGAAGAGTCTTTTTGTATCTCATCAAAAGGACCACCAGGCAAGCCTGATTTAAGCCAGAGGATCAATAGAAGGGAATATCAATCTGTAGCCTGTGGAAAGGTTTGAGTTTGTACATTTCAAAGTACAGAATAAAAAATAACAACCACAAAAAAGGAGAGGAGAAAAAAATCTCTCCTGAATTGCAATTAACAAAGCTATATTTGGAATTAAAATTTAATACACCACCACATAGTAATGAGACCATAACATAGACTATTCACCTTAGGCTTCACTGTCCAAACAAGGAATATTTTGGTACAATATCTGATTAAGGATATTCACTTTTTTTTTTTTCATTTCAAAACAAAATAGCAAAGACTTGGAACAATAGGGGAGATCATATTTTTTATTCCTTACAAAAAATGAAATGTCCAATAGTAAAAGTCACAAAATTGAGTAAAAGATCACAAAACATCCTCCTAACTGGAAGAAAAAAAAACCTTCCATTTTTGATGGTTCACATTTCAGCAATGAACAGGCCTCCCTCTTCCCAACCTTTAGAAGAAATGGAAAATTGAAATCTTTGGAAATAGTGACATTTATTAATAAAGCCATTATGCTGCTAACTGCTTGGCCTGTTCTTGGTTACAAAGTGCTGCTCGTGTAATATCATGGCAAACAGCTGTGAAGTTTCACAGTAATGGGTACAGTCAGCCCTGATGTGTCTAATTAATTCCTGTCCAGCAAATTAGCTTTGTTCTTTATTACTCTCCAATGAGAGGAAGCCATTATATTTCATTATTTTATTTTGTCATCAGGGACAGTGGAGCGTTGCAGGTCAGACAAACCTAGTGCTTTGTGTTTTAATTAGGTAAAGTGACAGGCCTGATTCAAAACCTTATATAACCTTGATTATATCTAATCAAAGGGCAGTTATATCTCAGACAGACTACTTGTCTGTTTTGATCAATGCACTAATGGGTATGAAATTTCAAAATATGGAATTTTGCTGTATATTTGTCTATACAGATTGTGTTGAGTATGTGGCTTTTTTCTGAGTATTGTGCAAAGGAGTATACACTGTTTCAGGTCAAGCTTTTGCAGATGTACTGTAACATAAACCTGGTAATAGTCAGAGAACTCTATTAACAGATAAAATATTTAACTGTCCTCTGTCTTGTTCTGAATTACAGTTGTATAATATAAAGGAAATTGAAAGGATGACAACAAACATATATTGCACTTCTGTAAGATTTTTGAAAAAATCCAAAGTGATGTGTGAATATCAGTGACAGACTTACACTACAATCCTTCAAATCTAGCAAAGTACAATATTATGTAATTGTGTATCATATAATAGACACTAATTGTGCAGGACAATATTAAATGGCAACTTCATTATTATTATTTTAAATGACATTAAACATGCCCACTGTAACAGCTGTGTACCATCAGAGTTCAACAGTATCTTTGTTGAACAATGGCTCCTTACATACCTATTGTCACATGTAATATGATAGTGGCTGTGAGAGTCTGGAACAAGGTTACAAAGTTTACTTCCATTGCAAGAATTTATAAGACTATAGGGACAGAGAACAAATAAACATTATTTGTGCAGAAGTAAGGAGATCTGAAGCTCGTGTGAAGGTCAGTAGTTTTTTCCTGCTACGGTTTTCTGAGGTGGTGACAGGAGACATTACTCAGGCTTTCCCCAGGCCTGACTTCAGCCTGTCATACTTAAACTCAGGGGTCAATGTTTAACTGTTTTAGATTTCCCAATACCTTGCCATCTGTAGCTGCACTCTGATGGCCTGTGACTGCACACTTCTGAGCAAAGTCTGTGACCCAGCAAGATGTTTTTCCTCTGATATCTGTGCCTCCTTCTACAGGAAATATCAGGGATGTCATTGTGAGTGGGCCTGGAAGCAACAACAGCATCACAGAGCAAATCACTGATGTCGTCAAGCAGCCTGCCTTCATAGCTGGCATCGGTGGGGCCTGCTGGGTTATCCTGATGGGCTTCAGCATCTGGTTGTACTGGCGTCGAAAGAAGAGGAAAGGTCTTAGCAATTATGCAGGTTAGTACAGCACAAGGAACTGCACAAGCCCAAACACAGCTTCAGAACAAGATATTCCAAGGAAGCTGGAATGATATTTTTACATTTAGAGGTTATAATTAAATGGCAATGAGTGCATTTCAAACCACTATGAAAATACTACCTACACGGTAATGTATACAACCTCCAATTTACATCACAGAAGAGAGTTTTAATGTTCACATAACGTCATATTGATGTTATTTTTCTACGATTCAGAATGAGACAACAAAATGTCTGGTGATGTGAAAGTGGCCCTATTACATTGTAAACATGCTTTACACCAAGCACATTTTGCTACTATATTAATTTAAATTATTTTCATAAACTTGACACATAAAAGGCAGTATTTGTTTAGATACATTATTTAAGTATTGCAAAAAAAGCAACCTGCCAGCCAAATAAAATACACTCATATTCATTTTCAAGTTTTGCAAAAATGATAAATCATTTACATTTGTGGTTATTTTATGGTAAACCACAGCTAAAAGAAAAATTCTAGCACAACTTATATTTTTGTATAATTGCATAGCTCATGCGATTGCCTCAACTGATTTGAATGAGTGCAATTAAATTGAATTCAACATATCAATATTAAGACATTTTGCAGACAAATACTACTTACTTGTTAACTCAGCCTGCAAATAATGTTCTTACATTTCTTGGGTGAAATGCCTTCTACTCAGCCATTCAAAAACGCTTGGGGTATTTCGCGGTACACCACGGTGGGCGTATCGCATGAAAACGCAGTAGCACGCGGTGTAACGCGTCATTTGACGTCATGCCGGAAGGTATCCGGAATCACCTTGTAAAACTGCCAGGAGGAGCCAATAAAGCCTAACCTCTCATGTACAGCATTTGAGCTTTTAGATTTTAACTGTGTATTACAGCATGTTAATCATCAGTCATTAAAAAGTTGGTATATTTTATGAAAGCAAGGTTACTCAGTTGGACAAAAGTACACAACCTACCTTTATCATAAGTATTTTAATTATGCAGAAATATTTTATGCATCAAAGCCTTTACCGAAGATATTACTAATAGTATTAATAATGAATTACTTTGGACAAGCTGTAAACATTCTTTCTAACTGTCATTTTAAACGAAAATACTTTTATTTTTTTCTTTGACAAACACCACAGCATTTCATTGATTTAACTAACGAGGACAGGACATTAGCTAGCCAATATGATAAAGGAATAAATGACTTTTTTTGCTCATTTCTTTAGCACATTTGTACAAGCACTTGGAATCTGTCCAATCCCTACTTTGACAGGCATTTTCTTTTACTGTAACGGACATAAAAATTCCCTTGCTTTTAACAGAGCGTTTCATAATTTCCAACAACGAAAATTATTTAAACTGCGACACTTATCATTCAACCAGAGCTCAAAATATCACAAGGATCCTCAAGAGCACAGCAAAGACTGTATTAAAAGATACTTGTATCAGATACATGAGAATCCAAGATTTTTTATCTACGCTTTCTTTTCCGTATACCAGAGATTATGGTACCACTTCAGAAGGGTGTCAGCCAGTCAGATTCCAGGAATCGGTACTTTAAAGAACAAATACACACCAGTATTCCATTTCTCCCTAAACATTTTAAGCATCGAAGTCTTTAACTAACATGTTAAATAACGTGTATAAAAAGTGGTAGTTTTAAGTTTTTCTGCGAATATGCTCGATACCGGAGTCAACAAGCATACTTTTAGAATTTGATTAATAGAGAGTATAATATGGAATCACGTATCTAAAGAAATTAATAATGATATAATTATATTCATGTACTGCAACACAGTAGTACACGCTGTACAATGTCTGTTGATTCTGTATGTGTAGGGCTGTTTCACCTCTCCTCATGTGGTCTACGTTCCCGACTTGTAAACCAGAGGTTGTGTGTTCAAATCCAGCAGGTGCCGCAACTTTTCTTTTAACAAACATTTCTTTGAAAAAATAGAATAGCAATGTTAAGGACAATTAATTGACAATAAATATAGAAAAGCACATATTACATTTGGGAAATAGTTTTAATATGTAAATAGTTCCCTGGTTCTGCACCCCTAGGTGTTTCTCTCTCTCTCGCTCCTTCGCTCGCCCCTCCCCCACCTCTCTCAATTCAATTCAATTCAAGGTGCTTTATTAGCAGGGGTTATCGTGTGTCTCTCTCTGGTCGGGGCGCGGGAGAGCTCACTGGTAGGTGGTGACGGAGAAAATAAAGGCAGCTTTTAACTCCGCAAGTCACACACCAATACACACCAATACTCCATTTCTCCCTAAACATTTAAAGCACCAAAGTCTTACATGTGGTTTTCATCACTCTCTGTGGGAATGCTGGCTGTGACTAATTAAACCAGTTTCACAGGTATTTTCAAGTGGTCAAGTCTTCAGCAGAAGGGGGGAACAAGCTGCCCAGCCATGTGGAATGCTACAGAACCCTAAACAGACAATACACACTAGCCGCATATTTGACCAAGGTATCCAGACACAGCTGTATGAGCTCCACCAGTAAAACTCAAAGTATTACGCTGGTCTACACTATTTGCAACCGTCATTTTAAATGAAAAGACTTTATTTTTTCATCGACCAAAAGTAACACCCACCACAGCATTTCGTTGGTCTAACTAGGATAGGACTTTAGCCAATATGATAAAGGAATAATTTCTTTAGCGCATTTATTTGAACATTTCCATTGATTGTACAAGCACTGAAAAACTGTTCAATCCCTAGTTTGTCGGGCATTTTCTTTTACTATAACAGATATAAAAACTCCCTTGCTTTCAAGATCAACAAAGACAACAGAAAAAGATATGTGTATAAGATACTGTCCATGGGAATCCAAGCTTTTTTATCTACGCTAAGAAGTAGTCTTTAAAATGTCTTCATTACACAGTCAAAATTCCGGGATGTGCCTATATTAGTACGCTGGGCAAACGTTCCGAGGTCAAATTCTTCCAGCACGGAGGTACATTTAAAGTGGAGATGACAGCACTGAAATTTTTTGGCATGCATAAAAACAGCAATTCTGTCAGTGAGCCCTGAATGAATTAATAGCAAACATGGTTTACATAAAAGACATTTTTCCAAGAACATTTAGCCTTTGTCACTAATGAAACCACTAAATAAAGACATAAATATAGAAATCTTAAGATTTTTGTTTTTTCAATGTTGGTAGCAGGGTGAACTGTCAGGTTGAGCTAAGTGTATATTTTGTCGCAGACTTGCTGCAAGATGTTAACAGTGAAAAAAGGTATTTAGAAATTAGTTATTTCAAGAAGAAAATTTTCAGAATAATTGAAAATCTAGCAGGATAGAGAAAGCACAGAAAATAGCCAATTACCCGCGGTACGTGTCTGTGCCACGCACTTTGAATGGCTGCATCTGTACAACACTATTTTTATATTTTAGGGTTAGAATTAGCATTGATAAGCACATTTCAGTTCACAATAAAATGTAAACAGTATCTTGTAAAATTTCCAATTTATATCACAAAATAGCCACGATTTCAGAACGATATAGAATGCGGTAACAGAACTTCCAGTGATTTGAAGTGGCTTTATTACATTGTAAACAACCAGGTTTGTGAATTCAATATAAATTTTAATCCAATATAAATTTTGCTATTGCTATTTCAAGACAGTTTTGATGTCATGTTGGAACATTTCTGCGGTGAAATCTCTGCTGCACGATCTCATACATGTGCTTATTCACTCATACATTACGCTATTACACATTAGTAATTACAGTAACTAGGGAGGAGGAAAGTCTGCTTCATGCCTCAATTTGTGGGAATTCTCGCTCTGATGTGGCGACACCAGGGATTTGCGACACCATGGCGATTTATGGTACTTTCACAACGTTTATGATTTGTGCTTAATTCGAAATGTAAAATGTTTCTATACCATCAATTAATTTTTGTTACCAAGATGTAGTAAGTGGTCTGAAAAATTGGGACTGCAGTTCCCCTTTAATCTTGAAAAGGCATAGAATGACAAAAACCTGCTGAAGGGGGAAAATTGGAAAATTATTTTATAGTCTGTTCAGGCAACCAAAACCAGATTTCAAGACCAAATATGATTAATTTGACATTGAGTCTTACAAATATTCAGCAGTGTAAGAAGTGTAACATCCAACAAATTAAAACTGATACCTGTCAGGAGCTGCAGAAAGAACTAGTAAGGTAGGCAGAATTTGGGCATCAGAACTTATTTTGCAAAAAAATAGAAGCTGGTGTCCTGTGGATGCTAGTGTAGATTGAGAAATGAAAAGCAGAAGAAGGAACAGGATTAACAAAAAAAAAAATGTGTCAGTTTAGGGAATGGTTGGAACTAGAGGAATGCAAAGGAACAAGGTTTATTCCATGCTGAAAAAAAGAAGAAGGAGAACACAACGTTTCGGCCGAGGAGCCTTCTTCAAGCGTGTGACACGGCTCCACAGCCAGATAAAAGAGCAGCTGGTAGCTCTGAAGTATAACTTAAAATGTATATAATGTATCTTTACTAGTAATGTATTTTGTCCCATTCTTTGATAAGTGAAATCGCATAATCACTGGAAGAATAATAAAGTTAGAAATCATGGCTATGGATCAAGCGTATAATATATATAATATAGTATAATCACTATAAAGAGCTGGAAAATCAATTATCACTGTTTTTTCACCAAACAGTTGCAGGTGACAATATTTCTGTTGTGAAATATCTGCTGCACAGCCTGTACTTCTTTGCATTGCAGGGGATTCAGATGGTAAAGCTAAAATAAGATCTTGAACCAATGAGGACTAATCTGTAATGCCGGTGTCACATTACACGACTTTTCTTAGGATTTTCAGTCGTAACCTTCATTTACATAATTGTAAGAAAAGCACAGCAAGTTGTAGAGAGTCGCAGCGTGCACCTGTTACCATCAGTTGTGTAGTGTGACACCCCCAGAGACTCAGTCATAGCGCTCTTAACAGTCCCTACGACTGCTGTGATTTTCTAGTAGCGAGTTGCAAGTCATAGGGGTGGACTCTTGTGTCTGCTACAGCCAACAGCCAGTGAGCGCTCAACCTGAAGTACAATGCAAGAAGGAAAGCGAGTGTTTTGGACTGTGCAAATGGAGGAGAGGCTCATCCTATTTTGGAACCAGCAAAGATGTCTGTTCCATGTTTTGTGTTTGTCATTTGTTTACTTTCGTGCAGTGCTCCTCCTCTTATTCCGGTCTGCTCCACGTTGATTGTCAAAATGAGGCGACCTCGCGGATCTTTCGTGACACAATACAAGATTTGGAACCATGATGAAAAGTTGTGAGGGAATTGTGTAATTAGTCATCCCCTGCGATTCCTAGTTGTATAATTTGACACTCTTTAGGAAAGGCAGCGATATTCAGCAACTGCAGTCGTTACGTTTGACATGCTCTCCGACTAGAAATCATGTCCAGTCATGTAGTGTGACACCGGCTTAATGAACTGACAAAATGTACTTAAGTCACCACAGACTGAAGATTCTTGCATGCAAGAGAGATAGAGAGAAGGTGAATCTGATTAATCTAAAAATGGAGGACTGGAGAAAACACAACATTGCAAGGAAGAAGAGTACAAAATACAAGAAAGAACTCTACTTTACAAAAAACACACAGTAAAGTTCCATACCGATCACACCTAATCATCAAATTTACCCCTTTGCTCAAGGTAAACAATGCATAAGGTGTCTCCAATATAATAATAATAGCAGATACAGACACCAATTACATAAAAATCATTTCTGTAGAAAAAGTTGTGGGTCTGGATTTGAATGTGCTCAAGGTGGGTGATTCTCTGACATCCTTAGGGATAGAATTCCAGAGCTCTGGGGCATAACAAAAGAAAGCCCTATCACCCATAGACAGTAAACAAGCTTGGAGGACAAACAGGAGCATGATCATTTGCCTGATCAGGATTCTGGATGCTGAATTCTGGACATACTTAAGTTTGTTTAGTGTGGATTTAGATGGATTTAGTAGGACATTGCAGTAACCAGTTCTTGGAAAGACGAATATGTTGACCAGCTCTTTGGCTACAGTGAGAGACAATATAGGATATAGTCTGAATATAGTTCTTAGATGAAAGAATTATGTTTTTACAATTGTTTGCACATGTGGGTCAAAGGTCAATCATGGATCAAATATCACCACCAAATTCTTCAATTTAGATTCAAATTCAGGTAGAGTGCCACAGACAGAGTTACTGCATTCACTTTAGATAGTTTTAGGGGGGGTGCCGAAAAGCATGACTTCAGTCTTGTCACAGTTTAAATGAAGGAAGTTTTTGTGTCAGAGATGAAATTGGAGAGTGCAGAAACAGCTACTTTATTGTCAGGTTTAGTAGGGGCATAGAAGTGATAATTCAGAACATGTGACTAAACCATGTTATTAGAGGTAATGCAGATTAATTCAGAAATTATCGGTTTTGAAATAAAAACATGGGTTGGAAGATTGACAAATTACTGAAAAGAGTAAGAGTAAATCTACCATTCAAACACTCACAGAATCAATAGAAAGGGTTATAAAGAGGGCTATAGTAATATCAGTATTTTACCAGATTCACTAATGGAAAGAAACAGGCAGAATTGGGTTAGCCTTTTTATATCAATTAAGTTGTTTTGAATGTGAATTTGAGCTAAGTCAGCACTAAGATAAGAGATAAGATCACTTTTGTTAGCCATATACAATTTCTTGCATTAGGAATTCATCTTTTTTCATACCCCAGCTTGCTCTCCATGAGACACAGACACCCAGATAGGGAGAGAAGTTTGGGGTCAGAGCACAGGGTTAGCCATTGTATAGCACCTCTGGAGCAGTTGGGCTTAAGGGCCTTGCTCAGGGGGCCAACAGAGTAGGATTCCTCTCCCAGCCACAGATGCAGATCCTTAGCCACAGTGCTACCTCTCCACCCCACTAGAATATGAAAGTAAAACTGATGAAAGGAAGAAGTGATTACTAGAGATAGGACCCAAACAACGGAGTAATAGTTGCGGGCCGTAGGTAAGGCCATAGAAATGGTATGAATACCATACCATTCATACCATACCATACCAGAATACCATGGCTGAATAAACATTGATTTTAGGAAGAAGATTATCAGTAGAGTTGTTTGTCATCAATTCCATAATTGAGGCAAGAAACTGATTTATCAATAAAGATTGATTAGTAAAATGATTTCCTTTCAAGGAAGACTAACCAAAACACTGTACATGCAATTTTTTATATTTTACAGTGAGAGAAAAATAGGCTTGGACCTCAGTGGTTCAGAATTTATCCAAAAGTAAAGAGGAACCAAAGGCAGTAGGAGGTGCTGGCAGGCAGAAAGGGAGAATAGCAGACATCTTGCTAGCTGGCAGACAGACCCACTGACTGACTGGGTGACACAGTGTTTGTGCAATGAGCACTAAGGTAATTGGATTAAATGTCCATATTTATACCCAGGTTTTGGCAAGAGTCAGAGCCTATCTAAATCCTAAATATATGAACTCCAACTACAAATCCAACATATAATGCATAGTTTATATTGCATAGAACCAAGAAGCACATAGAAAAGTAAAAGCCATGATGAGATACTGCATGTAATTGAATTTCTATCACAAGTTGAAGTTCTGATTCACTCCAGGCCTAAATCTAATGTGGAAATAAACTTTTTTTTTTTCAAATCTGTGCTTCTTGTTTGTGCCAACTTGTTCGGAATAATCTAAAATTTTAGACATCTTTGTTTTATAACATGTTTTTTCCATTACCAGAATATATTCAAAGCAAAGAGTGGCATTGAGAGGTAGCAAAGTAATTCTTAGATGAAAAAAATTTGGGGTACTCCAGGGATAAAACTACAGACTGCTCCATGATTATACAGTTTCTCTAACATTAAACAAAAACAAATGTAATTTAAATTATGTTGTTATAATGTCTGATGAGCTGTATAGAACATAAAAGAAAGAACAAACAGCACTTGAGGCACAGTATCTTTATATGTATGCATTCGCCTCACAATTTACATAAATGTGTATCTGACTTTATTTATAATTTATCAGGGTGTATTTTTTGCAATTAGCACAAGGTGGCTTCAATCTCTTTTTTTTCCTTTGCTTATCTTTTACACTTAAAAGAAATGTTTCACATTCTTATGTATTCTCAGTAATGGAAAGAGTGCTCTGAGACATTCTTTAATTTCGCCATATTTTTTCTTCCTGCACAGTGACCTGACATTTTACCGAGAATGAGTGTTTGAGCTTGGTCGATAAAGCCAGAGGAGGAGCAAATGCACAGAATGTTAAAATGTTTGATGAAACGCTCAGATAGGAGACGTTCCTTAGCTCTGATGACCCCATTTTTTATTCCTCAGAGGCTAAGGTGAAGGCTGTTACAGCTTCTGATGCCTAAACAAGCCCTTGTTTCTTCTTTTCCTCCCACACATTCACTCATATACTTTTCTGTCTAATTTCTGTAGAAATGTGAACAGCTGCATTTCACTGGTCTCAGCCAGGGGTTTTGCACTTAACCCTTACTGTCTCATTACAGCCTTAAACTTTTCCACCAGCCATGGCCTGTATAATATGGAGATAAAAATTGATTTGTTTTTACTTTTCAAAACTAGCAACAAAAAAACATTGCTGGAAACACCCATATAGTATCCTGGGTGACATAAAATGTATTTGTACCTGGGAAAGAAGGGTTTAATAAACATTGACGATAACATTGTTTTTTTACCTCTCTACATACTGTATATTCATATTTTTTGATTAACGTATACTGTTTGTGTCACGAACACGGACTGAGATCCATGTCAAATCTTATAGACCCTATGCGATGCGGTAAGAGCTGGAGAAAACAGGAGGCGTGGTAAAAGGGAACACACAGGGGTTTAATAGTGCACAAAATAATAGTGACAATCCATGAGACAGTGAACGGGGAAGACAAAGAACAGCATCCAAATCCAAACGGGTCCAAAGGCAGGTCAGGGCACAGTCCAAGAGTCCATCAGCGAGAAATCCATCCTGGGACACGACAAGGTTAAAATCCCCGGGAGGGGGGAACACACGGAGTGACAAAACATGGAGGTCCAAGGGTGATGGGGCGAGATCCTCCAGACCCTGGGCTCAAGAAGCGGGAGGTGTTGGGGATGAGGCCTATGCCCTCAGGAGACAGACGTAGGGTTTCCTGGTCCCAGGCGGGCCTCGCGACATCCTTACCCTAATGATGAGCCCCGAGGACTGGAGGAGCTAGTCTTTAAATAATCACAGAAACAATTACGGGAGTAATGGAGCGCCCTCTAGGGAGGGATGTCGGGCGTGACAGTTTGTCTGTCATCTTTCCTTAATAATTGGACCCCCTACTACTTGCCTGCTGTGTATAGAATATTTCACTGCAACAAGCTTTGAGAGCAGTGCTGACTGACCACTCAATAGCTGACAACTGACTTTTGCAGGCTTTTAACTCATGACTTCTCTGTCTTCTTGTTTTGCAGTTCAGTCCTTCACCTTCACTCCTGCAGGTACTGTCCATTTGTCCTGTCTTTGCACTGTACAGTCATGATAGGTTTTGCATTCCTGGGATCTTGAAATCCCAATGCTTTTCAAATCTCTTCTTAAAAAAATCTTCAGATTAATACTGAGATTCTTTAAAGAATATTTCATCATTGAACCTAAATGCACAGCTACCCTCAGCACATAATAACGATCAGGTTCCTTAATAAAAAATAATAACAAAATAGAAATATTGAATCAATTTCTTAGCTCGTTTCCAATCAAAAAAGGAAAACAAAATACGGTAGTTGATAAATTCTTGAGCTTTGGAAATTCCAGTATTTACACTTACCTTCTCATCTGTTCATTTTTTCTACCAAGCTCTTATAATAAATCATCCTATATATATATATTTGTTCTCAGCACTGGGATAATTTACTCCTATGGCACAGGGAGGGCAATAAAAAGGCTCAGGGATTGCAAACCTCCTGTATAACATTAGGTGCACTAACTGTACAGTGGACCCGTCATTCATTGTGTTGTACAGTCATTGCCTGAAACGGCTGTCAGTGCATTCGTTCACTTCTCCAGCTGTTCCTGTTTTTCCTGCCATCAGTCTCGTTTTCTCATTTCCTTTCACTCTGAATCTTTGGGAAGAAAATCATTCCAGAGTAACCCTTCCCATGACAGGACCTCAGACCATCCATTCCAAGTTCATGGGTATTATGAATAAAACTGTTTCTTCATGATTGTTTTATATTTTCCTCTATGGAAAGGTGAATGGTTATTATTCTGAATTTAAGGTTGCCCCATTCTGTCCCAAGTGAATTGCACTGCTTCCTATGAAGTATAGCATACCCTTCCATCCTGAATATCTATCCTGATTAATTGCACGTTTTCTAAGATAAATCTGTTATCCAGTGCCCCGAAGTTGACAATTTCTGTTTAAAATTATATATAAATTTGATTCACTCATTTTTTCTGAAATTTCTTAATGAATAGAGTTAATTAGAGAATTTTAACCAATATTAGATTTATTTCGTGATAGTTTTACCATTGCCAAAAATTCTCAAGATATTTTGTAAAAAACAATTAATGCATATATGCATGAAAATCTTAATATTTAACTTTAAAAACCAATTCAAAGATTATGTCTATTTCATACTGTATACAGTACAAATGTTAAGTAAAAAATAATGTTTATCCTTTTTATCCAGTGTACAAGTGTTATTTTATACACAGAGCTGTGAACATTTACATTAACTGTAGCACAGCTGTAATGCATAAGAATTGAAAAGTTCTGAACCTGTTGACTGTACTTTATCAGCGTAATCAATGCTGGTTTGTTTGAAGAGATGGGTAAAGGATTAAAGAAAACAAACAGGAAGCATTTTCCAACTGTGTCATCAGTTGAACCAGACTTACAATACATTCTATATCTTTCTTTGCCTCCTATTAATGCCATCTTTTACAATAAGAGACACTCCTCCTGTTACTAATAGATGCTTAAAATGTCCAAATGCTGTGAAAGCCCTTAAAACAGTACCTTCTAGCCCTTTAGTACAACCCAATTCACTTTAGATGGTCAGTTTTGATAAATTTGTATGATTTTGAAGTTTCAGACACAAAATAACAAGCATTTAGGAGTGTAAACTGTCAAACAGACATTACCCAATTCTGCTTCTTTTTTTCATGAAATCACACAGGATTTTTTACATTTAGCCACTTTGCATTCTAGAGAGCCCATGCTGTTATGAAGAGACAAGGGTGTGCACTTGGTTTGAGCAATGAAATGCAGATGGATTTAGTTCACCACATCATCAGGTTTCCTATGTTCAGCCTAATCCCTTGCCCATTTCGATTTGCACGTTTCATTGGCTTTCCAGTTCCTATTTATTTCTCAAATACTACTGACTCTTTCACTCCTAAATGAGAACATTTCACAGTTTCCTTTTTGCACATCTTAATTTTTCCTTTTACACCTAATTTCCCATCTCCATATCATCCAGCATTGTGCCATTCCTGTTGAATGGTCCAAACCTATTAATTAGAATAATTGGATATATCATGTGCAAATGTAACACATAATAACATAGATTGCACTTTTGGGGAGTTTAGGAGTCTTCAAAACTTGTTTATGCTTAAGATTCTACAATATATATTTCTGTACAGTACATGTGCAAACCAATAGAAATTTGATTGCAAGGTAATTTCACTTTTGATATACAGTATAAAACAGAAATGTTGCTCTCTAGGAATGGTTTGGAAATGGTTAATGTATGTGTGTGGATGGGGGGAGTCATGGGGTATTTGTAAGTTAGAAAATGTCATAAATAAAGATGAAGCAAAGAGAGAAGGGAAAAATTATGAGATGTGCAAAATTTCACGTACCACTCCTAAAACTGTCAAACCAGGAAGTGTGAATCATTTGACAGAGTCATCCAGAGGAGGGTGGAATATTTGATGGAATTTTTATATGCTGATTATCTGCTCCCTGTTAATGCTTATTAAAAGGGATTAATCTGTATTCATATTTGAGAAACTGCTTATCAAGAGAGAATGAGCACGTCTAGGCAACATTAAAGTTCTCATTTGCAGTGGAGAAATGTGGCTGAGTAAAGATAGGGACATCTAACACTGTTCTGGGTGGGCCTACTGGCTGGAAAATGTCAGACCCCTTGTTGTTTTCCCTCTGAATTCTGGGGTGTCTTTGGAAAAGAAATGCCTAATTTCAGAACCTCTTATTTTATAGTTTTTCCTATTTATTTGTCTTTGTTATTGTTACTGTGACTACTTTGATGAACAGAAATATCTTACCGTGTGAAGAAATACTTCAGGAAAATAGACATCAATTACTGTATGTGTGGTCAATAGGGTGCCTCAAAGTATAGTTATAATGGAACAGGTTACTTCTTTACTTATTTAGAAGTGAGGGTAGATAAAATGTTCATGTAGATTAAGCAAAAACACCCTAATTAGGCACTTCCAGTGGCCTAATTCCAGAGGTTTTTCTCAATACAATTTATATATATACAGTAAATAAACAATATGCAGTATTCATGTTATACCAATGCTGAACTTACAGAATTAATCTTTACATGAATCATCTTTAACTTTTAATATGAATATTATAATATTTTCCACATTGATTGCATTTTAAAATGTTTGCATACTACTTTCCAGAAACCATGCCAGCAGTTTCTGTCTCAATACCTGAACAATGTAGGGGTTGAAAATGTATTCAAAAGTTCAAATGTATTAAATTCCCAATTCTCATAAAATGGTTTTAAATCTTTGACTTGGAATTTGATTAAACAGTCTCAACAGAAATATTAGTTTACATGAGCATATATCTTTATTACCCTAGTGCATCATCATAATAAAAAATATTAACTTTTTGCATTTTACCTAGACTTTGAAAGATAAATACAAAACATTTTCATTAAATGTTTATAATGTTTAACATTTTTAACAAAGTAACATAGGGTTTCACATTCAATCTTTGTACCAAGAATAGAGTCAATTATATTTGTGTTTTTGGTTAATAAACAATATTTATTTTAAATTAATTGCAATAACACCATTCAGAGAGCATATGCAGTCATGGGTAGAGCACTTTTATATCACCAATAGTTCATGAAAATGAAGGATTACATTTTAACGTCCCTATGCACGTTTGCAGTAAATTCTCAAATATTTCTATTTCACACTTGCACACTGTGACAGTGATGGAAAAAGGAAATTTCTGCTTAGGTAGCATCATGGTAAAAAAAATAAACACAGTAAATGTTGTTTTGCTGAGGAAGGTGTGGGAAAAATGCTGACCTTGTTAGATATGAGCTGTTGCCTAAAAAGAAAAGAAATTAGGAGGCTGAAAGTCTCCAGCAGGATCTAAGGCATTCCTGTCCCTGTCTGGCAGAATAGCTGATTAAGCCAGCAGTGATGAGGCAGTTGTGTCTGTTGAATTGCTCCATGCGACTCCATTGACCCTGTCACCTTCCAGTAGCATGCCTGGAGGCCTGCAACAGATACACAGCCTGGTACTGGCAGCTGTGTGATAAGGCAGGCAGGCTGACAACGAGAGATGACTGCTGCATTTTAATACACTTCTGCCTTCATAAAATTTTTAATGTTTTTCATTAAAAAATAAACAGTTGCTGTCTAAGCCCCTGGGGGAGGTAATGCCTGGGACTATTTTTTCTTTTTGCCCATATCTTCTATTCAGTGGCTTTTATTATTTTGGGTTTGTTCTGGCACTCACAAAGAATACTTTCAAGAATACAGAATTCTGTAATTAAGCTTAAATGTTGTGGGGTTGGTATGAAATGCTTAAGAACTGTTATGGAAATGCATTAACGCTTGAAGAGTGTTAATGATAAGTCTGCAGTCCCACCCCATCCCCTTCTTATTGCAGATGGGTTTGATAAAATTCACCATGCTTTATTATTCTGATCACCCTTTCACCCACAAGATCATTTTCATATTGTAAATATTATGCTCCAACATGTACAAGAAAAAAAATGTAAAAAGAATCCAACCTCAGCAAGTGAAAAAAAGTATTTGTCAGCATGTGTGGAACAAATGTACCAATCATTGCTCTTCCTTTTTTTTTTCTCCACCTGCTGATCTTAAAATATATATACAGCATATTTTCTCAAAATGTCATAACTGAGTTTTTTCACAATGCAGTATTAATACACATGCTGTTTCTCTAATTTCTTACTTTGCCAATGTTAATGTTTAATTCTGATTAAAGTTTTCAGACATTTTTAAAGAACATTGCAAAATGAATTTCACTTACTGATCACTTGGTGACCGGCCCTAATGATCTTTATGTCCCAAATATTTAGGTTTGCTCAGAATAGTCACAGTTGCATACTGCAGTTTATTAAACATAGTTATGTGGTAAATGTGGCAATACCCATATTCATTTTGAAATGTTTTGAAAACCTTTAGAATTAAACATACTGATATTTATCGGCAGAATATTTAATATTTGCATTTTCTCTTTTCTTCCTGGAAATGAAGTCACCTTTCAGCGTGTGGATGGAGGAATGATGAGCAATGGAAGGTAAAAGTAATTCTTCTTCTATTATTGATAACTGTACTAAGATACTGTATTCAAACAATAAGAGGTGACATACCTGTTAGATTAGCCCTTCCTCTTCTGGGTCATCAAATTTCAATTAGTGATAAAACAGCTAAGAGAGATAATAGTTCAGGTGGGTAGCTGCGTCAGCATGCGTAGGCTGCAAAGGAACAAGTAATAGGTTTATTCCATGCTGAAAAATCTTGAAGAAGGCTTCACGGCCGAAACATTGTGTTTTCTTTCTTCTTTTTTTTCGGCATGGAATAAACCTATTACTTGTTCCTAAGAGAGATAATGACTAGCTGGTAATTTAAGCCATGCTGTTATATTTCGTTATGCTTTCAAGATTATTTAAGTTCTCACTTTACAGTCATATTTATACACCCTCAGGCAGAGCACAGTCCTTAAGTTTACCTTAATAACCGTGTCTCTGACACATCACTGTAAACATGATGAATCGAACCTGGCTTGCCACTTCAGGACTGATAACAGTGCTGAACTCATGGTACTGTATGTCTCTTCCTGTATTTTGTTTTCAAGGAAGTACAGCAAGATACAATGAACAATAGACACAGAAAGCATTTAAAAAGGAAAAAGACTGAACATTTTTTAACTCAAGAGAGAGCATCTGAAATGCATTTTAGCAATGTTTATATCTGTAAGAATAAAATTGTGGCTAATTATGATCTTGGGTATTTCAGTTAAATTTTCTCTTTCTGTTTTAGATTGATTCAGGACAAAACTGAACCCTTATTCTTTTGTTCTGCAAAATTCTAAAACCACCATTAAAAATAAATACTTTTTTTTCTATTATATACCATGAGATTATAAATACAAAACTCCCCATAACTGTTATTTACAATCAGTTGCACAGATCCCAATGTGATGAGTTCCCTTGTTATCCCCCATCCTGTACATTGCAGTACAGGAGTGCTGCAATGTCTAATGATGTAAAAATAATCACTCAGGGGACTAAAGGGAAAATCCTTCCATCAGAAAAATTCCATTCTGCATCTTGTCTTCTCATTTGAATGACACTAGTTACTGACTCAATAAGTGTGTTCATGGACACCAGGGATTATATCCCCAGGGTGTATATTTTTTAATGCACCTGGGTAGATATATCCACTGAAGATAGAAGACACCCGCAGGATCCTAATAAGATCTCTGACCCCTCAAACAGAAAACAGCTGAGCTGCATGACAATATTTAAAGCAGTTTGTATTATTGATATGGGTGAAATATCAAAAGGAAAGTAAAATGTAAATAGAAAATCCTGTCATGTATTATTCTAAACACTTGAGATTTAGCATATACTCATGTGTGTCCTGGCAGCCCTCAGTGGAGTTATTCTAGTTCTCATCCCTATTGTCACAGAGAGGTTTAAAACGACCACCTAAATTATTTTCATGCTATGCCTGTAAAATGCACATTATTTGAAATTTTTATTATTCAAAGTTGATTTAAACACAGTGCATTGCTCAATAACTGTGGTGTCAGTGCCCCCATTTTTCTCACCTTCATGCAGCTTCTGTAATATCCCATGAGAATTCCATGATACCACCCCCCCATCAACAAGAAGAAAACCGTACATTTTAAATAAAACAAGTGTTCAACAGTGCCAAAAAATCATTACTTGTAAAATAAGAATCCACTATTCTAATGATCTATCTCATATACACTTTTGAGACATCAAGCCCAGATGTTTCATATCCCCCATATGCCAAGAAAGAAATTAGTTACAAATATCAGAGGAAATGTGTTCATTTGTTACAGACAATGTTTATTGCATTAATTAGACAATAGCAAATTAAGTTGCTGTTGTTCACTACTCCTCATTGGTTGCTGCCAACTTTCTCTGACTTAACAATTACACCTAATCGATCACAAAATAAATGATTCATGGAAGATGAATAGGATGTGGATTGATAGGCCTGGATTCTGCAACTTTGGCTACTCAATTGAAATTGATAAAACCTGATAACAGGCCCATACATCCTCATCTATTTTCCTTTTGCCAATATAGAGATTGTAATTAGGACCCAGTAATAACTTCCTATCTCTCAGCTAATCAATATTTTAGCAAAAGGAGATTAGGCCTAATGAGAGCTGGTAGATTTGTGGAGCAAGCCAATGAATCTTTCTGTTACTGTTACCATGGAAATTCATTTACCTCCTAGGAACCTGAGGCTGACAGAAGGCTGCTATGCATCTAAATTTAAAATGTAAATTTGTGTTCAGACATGCTTTAAATGCCATTTAATGTGCAGGCTTTTAGTGTGCACGTTATTTCAAAAAGCCATAGAGTGCCATAAACTCTTATGATTTATGAAGCTTTTTATTTTTTTCACTTTGTTGTTGGTTTGTTTTATGTTTTCCCTTCAGGCATCTTATTTTTGTTTGAATTTATTTTCAAAGATGAGGGAAGAAAAGCCTTTAGATTATGCTTTTCTGGGAGCAGAATATTTAGAATAATGATTGATAACTTGAATGCTTTTGGAAAAGCTCTACATACAATTCTTTCATCTGAAAATAGGGGAAATTACCTAATGGATTAGACAAATTAATTTTGGGTTTGGTCACATATTTTTTGTTCTTCTCCTGGTTTTGTTCATAATGATAATGAAAAAGCTATGCAGTAACAGCAATATTCTTTGGAAAACCTTGTATTAAACCCATTAATTAAGATTTTAAAATGTATTTCTGCCTTTCAAAGCTTGGTGTCTGTGCCATTATGACAGTATTAGAATGCTGCAGATTTGACAAAAATGTACTCTGTTAATTTGGGAATGGTAAAGGTTTATTCCATGCTGAAAAGAAAACAAAAGAGACAAAATGTTTAGGCTGTGGGAGCTTCTTCGGGGTGACACCCAAAGCCAGAACTTGTCTCTTTTCTTTTATTTTCATCATGGAATATGCATGCTGACGCAGATACCTACTTGAACTTCTTCAACCCACTGTTAATTTAGTTCTTGAATTGACCAGGGAAGGAAGTAACATCAGTTAGTTTTTTTCAGAGTTTAAAACATTTTTACATTACTGGTCATCAACCAAGACAATAGTGTGTCGTTTCATGCAACATGAAGGACAAGAACTGTTCATCATTGCCTCCTTTTACAGGAGCAAAAGATACATGTTGGATTTTTATTGCATATCTCATAGCACCAATTTAATACTCGTACCCAATATTCTTCAATGTAATTATCCTTCTAAGAACATTTTCAAAGGTAGAAACAAGAGTGATCTGTCCATTACACGGCATACATAAAATCAGCTCACTACTAATAGCCCTGGTGGGTAAAAGCTGTTTAGCAAAGTCGTTTCTTCGGTTAGGGTGCAGTTTATGTTCAGTCAATGTACAGTACACAGACTGTCTGTCATCACCATGGCAGCCTGGAAGCTGACAGGTGCTTATTTAGGATTCAGAGTTGCGCGATATTAGCCTATAGGAGTGGAAGTGGCTGATACAGAGCCATCAGTTTGACTGATTCTTCCCCTGAGGTGCCATTTTATCATTCAAATCCTAGTTGGGGGCTCTTAGCTTGTCTGTCCTATTTCAGTCAAAAAGAGTTCATCTGGATTTCAGCTAAATTGCTTCTCATTTGAATCCATGGATTATAAGGCAATTTGTAATGTGCCTATTACTTTTGAATATCTCTAGACTCTGGAATCCTCTAATCCTTTTGAGTGCAGATTAGGGAATTCTGACCACCTGTATCTTTGTAATTGGCAAGATACCTAGTAAATCCCAAATGGGATGTAGAGTAGATAATCATAAAGGCATACAACCAGAAAGATTATGAGAGAGAGACAGAATCCCACAGAATAGAGGAACGGTAAATTATTTTAAGCATATAATTGCAATATACAACAGCCATGGTAAAAGTTCAGTGAAATACCAGGTCCAAATCCAGTCGTCTACAGGAAAGAATAATTTTCTTTTAGCTCCAAATTACCCTTCACTTTTTAAGAGTTAACTTTCCATTATCAAATTGTGACTTTTTAATGAAAAGACCAACTGTATGTCATGTCTGTTGTGTGTGGAAATTCACTTCCATTCATATAGAGTGTGCTAAGTGAATAAATTGTTAATAATTCCAGACAAAAGCCAATTTGTGTTTTTATTAGTTTAGACATCTATATGTAAAAAAATGTTCAGTATTCATTTGTGTTAGGTGTACTTTATTTTTTTAAAATCAATAATACAACTTGTAATTGAGTAGAAACTATTCTCTTATAAGAGAATGTTAAACAAGAGTAACAAAAGAGTTTCATTATAAACATCTGCTGTGCCAGTTATTATAGGAGTGATAGTAAAATATCTTTAATTTTGTGAAACCAGTCATCCAGTTTAAACTCTTAATGGCCAATTTCATGGATTCCTTCTCCCATGGGTTAGACCCAACACCTGTTAAGATCCACAGCATTGTATAATTCCCTCCTGCTCCCACAGGTTTGGGGATTAATAAGTATCAATTTACCAAAGAGCCTTCAGATGGGGTTGTTCTAGGTTACTGATGTTCACTATGGGAAATGCTCGAATGCATCTTACCTTCCTGTATCCCAGGTGAATGCTAATAAGGCATGATACTGTATGTTTTATGAAAATAGAAGCTATGGTATTGGGCAGTAGCATGAGCCAGTGTGTGTGTTATTTAGCCTGGAGGAATTACAGCATTGTGAATCTCCAGGGATCAGTGAACATTCCCATTCTTGGCTAGAAAAAGCAGAAAATGTCATTAGTCAATCATTAAAAAAATATATTCTCCTGTTGTAGCCGTCCAGGTCTAGTCAATGCAAGTGATCCCAGCTACCCCTGGCTAGCAGACTCTTGGCCTGCGACGAGCCTTCCAGTCAACAGTGGCACCAGTGGACCAAATGATCTTGGAAACTTTGGCCGTGGAGGTAAAGGATAACAGCATCTTCTTGTCTAATGACATTTAATGATATTTCTGAATTCAGGGGAAACAATATTTCATAAGCACATTTTAATTTCTTCATAGATTAGAATGTACACATTATATAAATTTATATAAATGTAAATTCAGTCCCTTTGTTTCTATAATCACTGGGATGTTGGTTCTAATAACTTTCTATATCATTTGGAGAATAAAAAGAAAACTTATTGTTTTGCATAACATTCTGATCGTCATTCTTTGCAGTCACATTTACAGAGAGATGAGATAAAAAATGGTATAATGCAGTCAGACGTGAAGGACAGGCACACGTCCCGTCACAGATGCTGATAGCTAAGCGAAGGCTGTACATCATTTTCCCTCCATTGGTTCATGGACCTTGTCTCAGCTGAAATGCACACAAGCAGACTGACACGTTTATTTTTCATCTGAAAAGCCTTGATAGTCCGAGTGGCCTCCGCATCACTGCTTTGCCTCTTCCTCCTTGTTCTATTCACAGATGTGCTGCCTTCAGTGCCAGGCCAGGGAGACAAAACAGGAACCATGCTCTCTGATGGTGCCATCTACAGCAGCATAGACTTCACCACCAAGGCCAGCTACAACAGCCCCAGTCAGATTTCACAGGCCACCCCTTATGCCACCACACAGATCCTTCACTCCAACAGCATCCATGAACTGGCTGTAGACCTGCCTGACCCCCAGTGGAAAGCTTCTATCCAGGCTAAACAGGAACTCACAGGACTGGGCTACTCACTGCCTGATAAAAACTCCTGCAACAACAGTAAGTGAATCTTAACCCATCCTGCCACCGCAGAGGGTTTATTTGAGCACATTTATCACTAAAGCATGCTAATGATGTGGTAATGTGACATGGGCCTAAACCTTTCACCTGCTAACCTTTCATCAGGTAGAACAACACACACATCAGATCCTGTCAAGTCCAGATTTATTAGAAGCATAGTACATTACAGTAGACCTTGTCTAATGTGTTTTCTGAAGTGTGCTGTGAGTGGATCCTTTGCTTTTGCGTGATGAAACTCTTGGAATGAAAAGTGTGGTTTCATATCCAGTGACAGTGCCAGCAGATTTGCATTCACCCTTGCAGTGTCTTTGGAAGAAATCTGTAGATTAAAGTACTTTGCTGTTACTGTTTTGCAAACTGCAAGACAGCAGTTCAATTAGACAACATTTGAAGGCAAACAAAGAAAACAAGCTTTAGTATGCAAATTACATTAAGCTATTGTTTTGTTTTATTCATAATTGAACTTAAAATGATTTATTTTTTGAGTTGAATGTATATTAAATTTTTTTAAAGATATTTTAAAAGCTTTTAGGCACTCAAAACTTTTATTTAAATTGAAAACTCACAATTTTCTTTCTAGCTTTCTATCTTCCCCTAATGTACTGTCAGTATAAAATAAGATCATGTGTCCAAAACATATTGTGTTTCTTATTTTAAATTGTACATACTGTATATGTAGCATGTATACAGTTGATGTACTGTATATAGTGTATCACTGAAAATATTTTTATCTAAAGGATTTAGGTGACAAGGTTTGGGTTCCCAGAAAAGCGCATGATTTCCACAGCTCTGGTTCTGTTTTAAAAGCTAACTGCATGGACTGCATGTGCTTGTGCTTTGAGCTAATCACCTGACACCACTGTGATTTTTGCCCTCTAACCCTTAGCACTACTTTTCATTCCTGACTACCGATTGGCCGAAGGATTGTCTAATAGAATGCCACACAACCAATCACAAGATTTCAGCACCACCAGCTCTCACAACAGCTCAGAAAGGAGCAGCAGTCTCTCAGGTTGGTTTCACGGTTTGAAAACTCAAGTCCTTCTGCTTTCTACTTACCTTTTATTAGCAGTATGCAGCCAGCTTGAACTTTTTTATTTTTATTGACGTACTTACTGTTGCATGCTCCATCACACTAATAACCTCTACATCAACTGGGAATCAGTATTAATGACCACTCCCTCAAACTGCTTTGCTCTAACATTTTAATGCCTCTCAAAAAGTTTTTTTGTCCACAGGTATGAAGAAGAGCACCAACAGCAATATTTCTTCTGACAAGTTTTACATTTTGTTTTCCCTTGTTGTGCATAATATTAAACAACACAGTTAAATGTTTTTTTTTAACTTAAACTAGCACTTCTTTACCCTATAAAACATTATAAATATTGTCTTTTGTTTGGATTTATCATTATTACATTAGGACATTGTGCTGTAGGATTTCCTGTCCTTGAGATGAAACCTTAAACTGCTTAGTTAGTGAAAACTCATGGTAATTTTTGAAAGAACAGAAATGTTAAACCCAGTCTTCTGTCCAAATTTAACTCAAGACTTGCACATTCTGGCTTACATGATGTTCTCCCTTAATTCAAGTGGTGAAGCATTGTCTCACTTTTCTGTGTAGTCGGTCTGCTGGTACATAATGGCTGCAGAATGACAAGGGTGCTGCACTTAAGTGATGAAAACATTCCAATGTATAAAGAACTTTGGAATTCTTTGGAATGAAAAGTGCTATATAAATGCAAAGAATTATTCAGTTATTGAAGTTCACAAATGTTTTGTCGGATAGATAGAGTAATTGCCCTTTGGTAAAGGTGGCAATTCAGGAGCCATTTTTTTCAATTTCATAGAAAAATAATGTGCAAAGACAGAAATCATAAATCACGGGATATGCACAGACCATTCATATTCCTCATCTCTTTACCTATTAAATTTATGAAATTGTATTGTTTCAGGGGCTTGTCCAAGTGTTAACTCCAAAGTTAAAGTAGCCTTAATGTGGAAAATGGGATTCCGTTTTGGCGGATTTTGTTAGTGGGTTCAGGAATGACACACAGTTTGTGCAAAACTTTAATATAAAAACTCTTTGCCTTTTGAGTCAGTGAGATCATTTCCCATTTTATTTCTAATGGTTACTGGCTACAATAAAACCCATGTACTGAGAATTACAATGTCATTTATAGGACACAGGAGCCTCTGTGTAATCTAGTTACAAGCCAGTGCTTTAACTGGTCTTTAATCCAATACATAGGCAGCCATTATGCTCATGAAGCAGATATTATAGCTGATCTAGAGTGGCTATTTAATTTTGCTTCTGCTTCCTTAAGACTTCTTACAGGTTAAAAAGTCACATTGCTGCCTGATTGTGGAAGTAATAGAGGCCCTGATTTCATTAAACTGTGCATTAATCAGGTTCTCTTGCTTGGGGATAGACTCCATTTCAGAAGACAGGCAATCTTCATTGTAGAATAAGCTCCATGCAAAGTGGTGTGGATTTTCCTAACCTGCAGTTAAAAAATGTATCCTAGTGCCATCCATGAGACTTTACAAACATGAAAGCAGAATAATAAGGTCACTCTTATTTACTGCTAATTATGCAGGGAATTGTTTTTGGTATGTACAAAAAACTTGTGGACAAACATTGATTTCTGCAAAAACTCCAAATGTATTTCAAATAGCACCTGCACATGCTGTAAATCTCAGCCAACCAAAGCTTGATGACCTTATTATGTGTACCTCTCGTAATACAGTTAATGTAGTGTCTCTGAAAATCACAGATTTTGGTGAGAAAACTGACAGTTGATTCTCCCTTTAAAAGGATTTAAACTGAGAACTGAAATTATATATCTTTCTTACATTGTTACTTCCCTTTGCATATTTTAATGATTTATTTACATGAAATGAAGAAACATTTTTACACATGATCTCATCTTCTGTACTCCAAATGAGTCCACTCCAGAAGAAATTTCAAAATAAGTGTGCTTATAAATGACTGTGTAAACAGATTTTTGAAAGGTAAATAATAATAAAGCTTTCATTGCTTTGAAGGAAAGAAAGAGGTAGCTTAGGTATTTTGGGGCTTTTTGAAACAAAGCATACTAAAAAAAACATTTTTGTCACTGCAAAGCAACCTAATCCAATAATTGCTGGATTCAGCAAATGTCAAGCACAATACAAATCTATACTCCTCTCTGTTGAGATACACAGAATAATAGTAATGAGTCTGGGAAAGGGAAAAATAAAAATGTTTTTAGTAATTATATTAAGATTTTGAGGGAAGCAGATCCCTTGATGCACCACTGAAAACGTCTCAACTACCAGTGACATGGCAGCTGAAGATACTAAGAAACTAGAATACTCTTCTGTTTAAACCATTTTTTTTTTTGCAAAACCAGATGAAAGGCCAAGTGGTTTAGTGGTCACAGATGATGACAGAAAAGCAATGCATCTTTCCTTAACTTCATTATAGTTGGTGGTTTATAAGTTGGTGTTTCTTCTTTAAGATGTGTCACTGGTTATACATCATGTCTAAGGCTGTAATGCTTGGAAGGATCTCACAACTAAGAACAGAAATATAGTCTATTTTAAGATAAATATACACTCACTGGCCAAAATATAATGAATGCCCCTGAATAATGTGTTGGTCCAAGTCAGAACATTTTAAACAGCACATTACATTTATTTCACAGAGATCTGAAATATTTGCAGCCTAATTCAATGTTCCTGCCTTCATTGAGGACATAAGGAGTGTAATACCACAAAGGACTGAGTTGCAAATTCTCATGCTTCACAAACCAGCCATTCATTGTGAATACATTGGGAGAGTCTATTCATTTTACTTGGAGGTTCCTAATATTTTGACCAATGACAGAACATGGGGATTTCTTCAAGGATTAATTTTTATTGAATCTACTTCACATAGCTGCTCTAACATGTGAGTTGGTATCACTGGAATAGTAAGCTCTAACAGCATTCTTTACCCAGCTGCCATTCAAGATTTTCAAGACGGAAATGAACATTAGGGAAGAGGTATTGCTTCCAACAATGCATAAATTCCAAACAAGTTTAGCAGAACTGTTCAAAGTAGATGGTTCACATATCAAAATTATTTTCCTGTAAAAAAGTTTCAGGAAAAATATTAATAAACCTCATCTGAAATAAACACAGTTTCAATAGTGAAATGTTAATCAAAGAACATAAGTGCAAGCTAATTTCATTCAATAATTCAAAACACTTATAAATATAAATGTTTGTGAAAAAAATACACAGTCATGTTGCTTTCAAGAAGTGTCTAGATAAGATCATTGGATCAATTAGCTACTAGTAATCAAAAATCCTAAATGGACCAAATGGCCTCCTCTGTTCACAACCTTTCCAGTGATCTCATTTTCTAATGAATATGTAAGGCCTGTCCTGAAGACCCGATATACAGGCACACATTATACTATGAAGCTACTGTCAACTATTATGGCATTTGAAATAATCAAGGATTTTCTTTGACATTGTAAATTATTATTCTATACTTATACATTATCCACCCTTCTATTTTCTAATCACTTTATCCAGTTCAGGGTCGCGAGGGAGCCGAAGCTTCAGCTTGGCATACAAGGTGGGGTACACCCTGAAGTACAATATTGATGTTCTCCCCCCTTCCAGACACTAGAGTTTTTGGTATCAGTCTTTTCATGTATTAGGTAAACATGAGCTACCCAATGGAGAGTTTCAAATTACTTTCCCTCTACACAAGACATCAGGGAAAAAGTTACTTAAAATCCTTCTTAATTTTATATAGAGGTTTTGGTCGATAATCAACTTTGGAATTACATTTCTAAAATGTCAGAAAAATAAGAAAATGTGTCACAGTTTGCCTTAATTAAAGGGTTCAATATTAATCTCAATTCCTATTGTAATGTAGTGAGTGCTCTTCTCAAAAATTGAGACTCTTAACATTCTTAACAACTTTGTGAGGAGTGAGGAGTTGCTGAAACTGCATGTCTCACCATGAAGAGCTTATCTGGCTGGCCTAGGTCTCGAATATTTTTGTACAGTCTGCCGTAAGCATCAGTTTGTACGGGCATATGAAAGTAATAATTTTCCTCCTTCTGCACATCCTCCCTGTCTGGTCAGAGCAGCTATGTTGCAGGAAGTAATGAGTCATGTTCTAACAAAAGGCAAGTGATGTCTTATTTGTGTAGCTGTCTGTTGCACTTCTTCTGATTGGCCAAATGGGGTGAATACTACCAAGAGGGAACTGATGACATGTATATGAATATTCCTCCTCCAGCCTCTGCTGCTGGTGGGAGACTTTACATGTTGTAAGCCACAGACCCAGGAGATAAGAATGTAGGGCTGGTGAGTAAGACAAATCTCCATAGCAATGAGACAAAGCCACCAGCTGCAAATATGGAAAGAACAAACAGGAGGTATTAGCCTCTGGCAGCATCAGTTTGTGGTACAATTTTGTTGAAAAAGTGGAACAAAAAGAATGAAAAATGCTCTTGGACAAACCTGTGGTGAAACAAATTATTGTAACAGACTATAAATCTCTAGAGATCCACAAAACGGTAACATCATTTGTAACACTGAGGTCTAATGTTTGAGAACACACAAACATAGTGAACTAGGAAAAAAATCTGAATTGGTGCTGACATTTTATTTTCTTTTTTATTTATATCTGTAAGATTTTATTTTATATATAAGGTGGTAAACAACATTTTTAAATAAAATATGAGCAAGAGAAGTGAAATAAGTATTCAGCCATTAAGCAAGTGTGTTGGTCACTGTAAATGCCCTAATAAGAGCAACACATTTACCATATATATATATATGCTATCTACAGGTGGAAAAGGAGGAAAGAAAAAGAAAAACAAAAGTGGATCCAAACCTCAGAAGACAAATGGATCAAACTGGGCCAATGTTCCCCTGCCGCCTCCACCTGTCCACCCGCTGCCTGGCACAGAGCTTGACCACTACACTGGAGATCAGCAGGAGGGAGGGTAGGCTAGTCTCCTTGCATTGCTGTAGAAATAAGTTGCCCAGTCTGCAACAATGGCAGACTTGATTAATGCAATTATCACAAAGAGACAACTGAACCATTCTGCTTCAGGACTTTTGGTTATACCCATTTATTTCTTAATAAAACTTGGTAATTGTTACATTTTGCTATCTTCAAAAATGTGTTTCTGACTTCATCTGCCCTTGATGACCAATGCTTACTATACTCCAAAACCAACATTAAACTTTTTGTTGTGGTTCTACAGATCTGACGGTTCTTTCCTTAAGGATAAGAATTGAATAGTTATACCATTTGGTTAAGTTTCCAGCAGCTGGTTACCTGATTCATTTTACAAGACCTTTGAAGTTATTATTGCATGTCATATAAAGGGCAAGGCACTAGTTGTGTTCAATTCAAACTAAGGTCCAAAAGCTCTCACTGTGTATTTAGCTGGATTTCACCACGTGATAATATACTGTATTCTGGAGCAGTAAAACTGATGAGTGGCTAGATCACAATAAAAATACAAAAAAATACAATGATTAGTGTCTTTTAATCAAACATATTTTGAACAGTGAATATTTTGAACATTTTGAATTAATTATATATTTTAAAGAATAAATACATTTTTCAAATGTTATGATTCCATATGATCTGAGTACTGTAACAAGTCATACTGATTGCAGTACTGTTAAGTTTTGTACTAAAGCAATAGAAGGTGACTTTTTCCCATTTTTTTGTACTGGGTGGTGGAGAATTACTGTAAATGCTCCTGTTCAAAAGCAATAATGGACTGATTAAAATATCTGAAGGCAGACTGTTATTGGCTTTTATCATAACTTAAAGCAGAGAAACTGTCCCTTATAAGACACCAACTCTAAAGACCAATATATGTGATTTGCATATGATGATGAATACAAAACAAAAATATAGGTAATTTATTATTTTCAAGGAAAGGTTGTAATGAATCATGATTTTCCTTCCAGCAGATTACAGTACATGACAATGTTAGGAGAACTCCTTCAAGTACACTTTAGTATCCATTGTCTAATGAATTTTTGAAACACTAAGATTCCATAACATGGTCAGGATGTCTTCAATGAGCTAGTTATATTGTACAGTATTTCATGTGCCTTACCCACCGAGCAGCTAGGCCTCATGTTGGACTAAACAACAAACACAGATGAACCAAATTATACTAGTGTCATTTTCCTGATGGATAAATATGAACTGTTAAGACTGTTAAGGGAAATTAATTGTGAATTTCCTCTTATAATCAGTTTAATAGTTACTGACTGTACCAGCATGAAAGAGGTTAAGACAATTTCACAAACTTGTCTAAACTTGCGACTCCATTTCTTTGCCCACGACAATCCCAAACAGCAGATTGACTGTGTCAGAATACTATCACAGCTCAAACAGATAATGCATACTGTATGTGGCTGCTGTTGAGTGGAAGGTCAAGAAACTCCTGATGAATTCAAATTTTCATCCTAGGTCCCATTTCATACATCAGCCCTGCCACCCAGTTGCATTTTTCTAGTGATGAAGCCACAGCTAAAGAAAATAAACCTTTATTGTATGTGTAACTGCTGTTATACATATAACAAATTTAGTAAGTACATTGTAGTCAGCATTAGTAATATCTTAGCTTCTTGTTTGTAGATAGACATTGTTACCTCTTATTATATATTGCCCAAATATACAAAGCTTGGGTAAAGTCTTCACCGTCTGTGATTCTGAATATTACACATTTCAAACATATATTTAAATCAAGTATTATTATAATATTTGTGATGCCGTGTTGGGAGGTGCACAGTAGAGGCACAGGTTCAAGGTGAGCCCGCGAGCAGAGACACACCACACAGTATCATGGCTTGATTTATCCTGGCTCCCGTTACTCAGATATAGCACCTTCTTTTTTCGGGTGTGTGACATCACTTAGCCCTCCTACAATGGCAAGTGACAGATTCAGCTTGTCAGGGGCAGAGGGGTGACCCAGTATAGGTTGTGCATGAACTCTGCTCCTTGTTCTCCACTCTGTTTGTCTATGATGATCAGCTCTACATCCTGTTCCAGTGATTGCTGGTTTCCTGTCACCAGTTTGTGATCTGCACGCAGCCATCTTAGGCATGGGGATGCCTTGAAAAAGTAAAGCCATACCTTGCAACGCACATCCCTACACGGGGTGTCACAGATTATAATGATAGAATATATATTCAGTATACTGTATGCAGTATAGCTACACCAATTCAATTAATAATTCTGTGCAATACACAGCTATCTTATCCTACGTCATGCGTCGGGTGCTTTTTCTTGTGCCCTGTGATGCTGTGAAATACCACTTTTGGTAATTGTATCAAAATATTAACTCAATGAGAGATTTCCTAACATGTGTAAAGCTTTTAGCAACCTGTGTAATGGTCTTTTTGGATGAATAAGATGGTCCTGTATAAGATGTATGAAAACACCAGCATTTGCTCTGCAGGAGGTTATCATTCTTGGTGCCATTTCGATGTCAGAACAGAACTAGAGTATTTTCTTTTTGATACAGATTTCATATTTTTCACTTTTTCCCTGAAAACAATAAGAATTAATGTGAAACTCTCAGGCTGTATTCTGCACAAACATCAAATATTAAATAAGCAGCTAACACCTACTGTAGGTTAATTTGGAACATATATTGTGAGGGCAAATTACAACTTTCCCTTGAATTTAATTAATTTAATGATTTTAATTTAATGTGGCTTTCATCCACATTATTTTTTATCTGGATAAACATCTTGCTTAATAAGGTCTCTAGTAAATGGATTTTCTTATGTCTTGTAAATTTGAACTCAGGACTGGCAGTTTGAGATTAAACCTGATTTTGCATATGATGTCTGAACTGTACCTGAAGGCATTTTTGGATGATTTTTGTTCTCACAATCGTAATTTTAGGTATGCTAATCCAGTTTCATTCAGTTTTCACAGTTCTGCTTCACCTCCTTTTTTAAATTGAGCTATGTGTAATTGTCAGAAGCCAGAGGTAAAAAACAAGGTTTACCTTCCTTTGTGGTAGACCTATAGGTCTTTTATCCTTATAAACTGCCGGCCCTCCTGCAGGTATGAGAGTGACGGCTGGGGACCCCCACTCCCAGTCCAGACTTACCTTCATCAGGGGTTGGAAGATGAGCTGGAGGAGGAAGACGAGCGGGTGCCCACTCCACCCATCCGGGGAGTGGCTTCCTCCCCTGCAGTGTCCTTCGGTCAGCAGTCCACCGCTACACTCACGCCCTCCCCACGGGATGAGATGCAGCCCATGCTTCAGGCTCACCTGGATGAGCTGACCCGGGCCTACCAGTTTGACATTGCCAAACAAACCTGGTGAGAAAAGGCAACTTCAGGCATAGCGGAACCACTTTACCATGTATCAACGCAAAACTTTTTCTGTCTGTGGTTCAAGGCAATATAAGCATGTATTTCGTAGGTCATATTTTAGATGAATGAAAACGAAAAGAATTATATGCAGTAGAAAAATTTGTGACATACAAATTCACTGTTCCAAAGTGGTAAATATGGTGAAAACAGTTAAATTGTTAAAATCCTTTGAGTTTCCTTTAAAGCACATCCCTTCACATAATTTCCTCCACATTTATATATTATGATTGAAAATTCTTTAAACAAAAAATGCATAATGGGGGTGATATTAGACTGTTTATTAATAAAACCAATAAATGTGTGGCATTTTTAATTTCTCTGAGTATATATTTCCTTTATTAATTGCACACTCCTGCATGGAGCTTCAAAGTGCACCCCTTCTTTACTCTTGTGTTTCAGCAAGAAGTGCACATCTCTCATTAAAGTATTAACAAGCGACAGAAAGGTTGTCATGTCTTAATAGAAAATGCCATGTTCAAGGATAATGACTATGCTGGGCTAATCATGATTTTGACATTTGAAAAGACCTTGTAAATGTGACAGATTCCCACTTTGCCAAATACGACATGCAAACAGAGACTTGAACGTGCTGTCGCTCTTTGCCCTGCAAGGTGCTAGATGGATGACAGATGTATGAAAAACAGTCTCAAAACAGACTGTTGGTCTACCAAGGGCATGTTCTCCTTCTGACGAAACACAAAGCCATTATGTGGTCCTAAGACAAAATCATTACAATTCTGAAATTTTGTGTTGAAATGAATGAGAATTGTATTTTAGAAATGTTTCACTTGCTTTATTGCCTTTGGAATTGCACAGGTAGAAAAACACCATGGCAATGTTATTTAATATATTTAATAAATATATTAAAAGTGATATTTTACAGTAGGTCAGCATAGTGGTACAGCTTGCTGTCTCACTGAGTTTGTTTCTGAACTTGGGCATCTTCTATGGGGTGTATGTGTCCCACCTCAATAAATATGCTGGCTAGGTTTATGGCAATTTGTATGCTATGTGTGTATGGATCCTGCCTTTGACTGGCAACCTATCCAGAGTCTTCTCCCAAATTGTTCCTTGTGGTGCCAGGTGAGGCTCCAGCTCTATAGGATGAAACGACAGTGAATAATGGATGGATTATATTTGTACCTATAGTCATGGGCTGAACCGTGGGAAATTGTTCTAATATAATGAAACAGTATATACTGCAAATACATTATAGAAATTAAAATGATTTTATGTATTGTAAAATATTGTATAGTTATATTGTATAAATATACTTCTTACTGTATTAACATCAGATTTATTCATAGTACATTTTCAACTGTGCATAACCTCACTATGCTTGCTGGACACAGTTACTGAACAATTTACACAAACCAACAATTTCTGTCACTCACAATTCTTGTTGAATCAAAGCAAGAATGAAATAAATACCAACACAATTCTTAAATATAAAACCTGTAAAACTTTGTTAATTTTTTTCTGGTTATTTCCTTAAACTTCCCTTATGGCTGTCATGCTTATTTATTTTCTTTCTATCAGGCACATGCAGGGCAGTAACCACCCACCCCAAGCCCCTGCCCCTCCTGTGGGGTATATCTCTAGTACTCTGGTCTCAGATCTTGAGACTGACATTCCAGATGAGGAAGACGATGATGAAGAAGAGGACGAAGCTTATGAAATGGCACGGCCACTCAGAGGTATAGAGCACACCCCTGGCTCCAGCATGGACAATCTGGACAGCTCAGTGACAGGTGAGTAAATGCTCTTGTTAATCACCTTGTTTAATAGAGATTTGTGCTCTCTTTTTGTTTTATTGCTTTTTTTTTCAGGCATTGAAATGTTTATGTTGCACAATATATACAGAAGCATACAGAGGAAAGCTGACAATCTTGTTACTTTTTATGTAAAATGTTGTTAAACGTGCTTTATTTCTCCTGAAACATTTTGACAAGCATTTATGAAGTCCATGGACCTGAAAATATATTCACTTGAAACTGACACTTTTGGCTTCATTTTTTGGTTTCATCAGTTTAGGCTGCTCAGAAGAATGATAATAAAAAAAGATAAGAAACATTCATGCATTTTAAGAAGGTTGAAATTTAAAGGAAAGGTTAGCATGCTTCAGCTTACAGAGAATACCAGATGCTGAGGTGAAAGTTAGTTTACAATAATAGTTGTAAAATATAATAATGAAATATATATATGAAGCATATTTCATTATGGATTCAGGTCATGGGAGGTAGTTTCTACTTTTATTTTTAAAACACATTCACAGCAGTAAAGAAGGAATGATTTTCAGAATTTTGGTACTATTACAGCAGAAAGATAAAACATAAAATTATCCTTCCCTGTATCATAGTCTGTGAAAGCACTGTAGGTAAGTCGTACATTTATATGAGCTAGATTATTCTTGCATCCTGATACAATCCACACTTCTTCAGAAATTCCAAGCAGTTTAATCTGCCAACCCCCAATCCTTCACAGAAGCCTCTTTTTGGTGGAAAAAAAAACAGCCTTCCTGCATTTTTTGCTTGAAGTAGCCCAGTTTTCAAAAGCAATGGAAATCTAGAGTTATTATACTTGATGAAACTGACATCTTGTCATGTTTGTGGTGTAATCGCCTCCTAATGAATAGGAGAGAAAGGAAACTGAACAGCCTCCAGACTCTTAAAAACGGGGAAAAAATGTTCTGCAAGGCAGCACTTTTGAATAGTGATGAAGAGGAGAATGGAAGAGATTAAAAATCTTGCCATTTATACTCAGAGGAAAACAAATTTAGGGAGCTGTCATTTAGTCTATATATCAGGAAACTCCAGTACACTGTGAACATTTGGCGGTGTTTCAAGGTCTGTACTTTTCTGTTCTTTCATTAAATACATGATATAGACTCAAATGTATTTCCAAACACTGTTCATATGCTGTAGTTTAAGAATGTATGCACAGCTTGTTGTCAAGGTGAGGTTTGCCAATCATAACCCCACCAATTACCTTCAATCAAGCTCACCTGTTAGCAAGCAACCTTTCAAGGAGCACTTTGATTGAGTTGAACAGATGCTACTTATTGGAGGTGGTGTGGTGATGTCACTCCGCAGGTGTCTCTTAGGAGCATTTCAAATGTTTTGTACCAGTGGACCTGAGTGGGGGGGGGTTCTGTGATTACAGATAATATCCTAATAAAGAACAAGTAAAGGTTTACATGCTGAAAAGTGAAGAAAAGAAACACAACGTTCCTTTGCAGTCTACATATGCTGACGTAGCCACCAACTTGAACTACTAATATCCTAATATACATATATTAGTGGCACAAAAGTATACAGTTTTAAACCTAATTTTTAAAGTGATAAAATATAACTAACTATTCTGTTGCTTCTGTGATTAGCAGACTCAATGTGTTTCTTTTACTTGATTTCTTGGAAGTGATTATTAGTCCACTTTACCTGGGGCTGCCAGCATTCCATATTTATTGCCTATCCAATTTAACTTTAAATACAGTATCTCTTTCCTTCAATACGAATGGATTAAACAGCTTGATCATCTTTAAAAACAGTTTTTTCTCTCTGAAAAAACACGGCAATGACTGACAAGATCATTGCTCTATTGCTTCTGATCACATGATTGCAATCAAATTGTGCTTCTTTAATGCTAATGCAAAATTAATCCTCCTCAGTTGTTCTGTCAGGAGATTTTTATTTTATTATTCAAGGGCATGCCACAATCTGATTGACTTGATTGTTTTTACAGAAATCAGTTTTGTCGGTTGCAAATGTTTATTGGGAAAAAAAAGAATCTGAATTTAATTCTGCATTAGGATCCTAAGTAATTATTTTCAGTAACATACATAGAAAGTACAGTAGTGCAGATCCCAAACTCTCTATGTGTAAAGATGTGTATTCTGTCTTCAGCCAAGTTTTATTCCATGCAGTTAAAACAAAATTTGTTTTATATGTATATGTTTTTCAAATATTCTTGGGAGCCTAAATCTCAAAATCAGAGCCGATAGAGAATCAAAGGAAGATTTTAAAATTTGCTATCCCAAAATCTGAAATCAATTAACCTGAGATTAAGAATTCACCTTCACGTGCAACTCCATATCATTATTACTTTTTGCATTTGTCTTACTGTTAGTTATGGTAGATTTAATGCAAAAAGACGTATTTAATGTCTAAAATGTGACAAGTAAAGAAGGCAGAGGTTGGAGCTGCATCAGCATGCCTTGGCTATGCAAGAAGAACAAAGAACATAATGTTTCAGCTACTGAGCCTCCTTCAGGTGTGAGGTGGAGAGAAAAGCTGCAGAAACATAAAACACTAAAGAAAGAGCAAGTGAGAATGGCCACAGCAGGTGAGAATGTGTATCCAAACAAATAGAAATTTGAGGGATGCATTTCTATAAATATGTGAAAAGCTCAGATTTGTAATGAATGGGGAGTTTTTTTAATAAGAAATTAGTCTATCATCAAAAGCTGGTGGAAGATGTGATTCTAGTTTCAGAATAATCCTTGATTTCTGAAGTCTTTCTGGAATCAAAGTCCTTGAAGCATTTTAAAATAAAGAAAGCTCAGTGTATAGGGTTTTGAAACATTGTGTTTTGTTTTCTAATTTCAGCATGGGATTAACCTCTACTTCTTTCTTCTCATATCTTTCCTAGAAGAGAAAATCTACAGCACATTGCCCCTTACAATCCTAATTGAACATTGTTTTAAAAAAAGTATAGTTCAGATGACAAAGCCATATAATTTTCCATATCATTTTAAATACACTATACTTGCAGCTGAAGAACTCAAACTTAATTTCATGTTTGTTGTTTTCTTTAAATTTATAAATGAGATCCAGAAATTCTTAAAGGCTATTTACAAAGTGCCTTTCAGATTTTGTACTGCTCATTTTTGTAGAGATCTGACTTTTTTCTGTTTTTATTCAACTGGCAGTTAACATGCGTGACTCAAAAGACTGGAAATGTATAGTAGTGATTAGGTTCTGCTTGCTTTTGTGCCCATAAAAAGACAGCAATTAGTAAGTTCACATTCTTAGGCACAAGGTTTAATGGATAAAGGAGACGCCGGCTCATCAACTAGAATGATTTTAGCAGAAAATTATATGCAAATGAAGAGCCGAGTGATCATAAATTAATTTTAGTGGCATAGATGTTATTGTCTAGCAGTAATATTCCAGTTTATCTGCTAGCTTAATGGCATAGAAGTGAAGGGCTTGGTGACCAAAGATGAATTTAAAAAAGATATTGTATCACTTCTAAGGGATGTGAAATGTAGTTGTTTATATACACAATCACTTAGGACATATATTAGTTTACAGACACTATTTTAAATATGTCTAGCTTTTGTCATGCCCGGGCAAGGCAGGGTTTACAGCATCAGTCTCCATGGTAACCAGATGTGTTCACAAAGTGTCAAACACCTCCTGGTGCTGTGAGAACTCGCTTGGGGCTTCTGGACCAGCCACCTGTCCCAACTTAATGGGTAATTATTTCATTAGCTCCAGGTTACTTAAACCTTGGTCTGCCACAGGCAGGTGCTCTGCCATTGAGCTTACTATGAAGTTAAGAAGGTACTCTTAACACAACAAGCTTGTCAGATCAAGAAATATTCTGCCTTATTCAGTTTGTCTGCCCAATCCTGAGATGGGACCCCACTGCAAGCCTGATTCTCATCTACCCCCTATTCTTTACTCCTGCTCAGCACCCACAAGACCAGTGGCACTGTGCAGCTGCTCAGTTCTCTTGTCCTGGTTGGCTTCACAGCTCCACTGCCCTGCTTTATTCTGCTTAGCTGCACTGTGCCTTCTCGGTCCTTTCAGCCTGGCCACACAGAGGATTCTCTGCTTTGTCCATTCTCTGTCTGTCTTCATCTGTCTGCATAATGCATCCCCCAGCTCTAACCTCTCACCACTCTGCTTGTCTTTACTGGGATAAAGCAAGTGGATTCCTCAGCCTGTCCTACAGATGCAGCTCTTTCCAGTTCATCACTGCATTATTAGTTCAAGTAGGTAGCTGCGTCAGCATGTTTAGGCTGCAGAGGAACAAGTAAAGGTTTATTCCATGCTGAAAAGAAAAGAAACAACATACCCGAAGAAGGCTCCACAGTTGAAACGTTGTGTTTCTTTTCTTCTCTCTTCAGCATGGAATAAGCCTTTACTTGTTGCATCACTGCATTATAACAGCTTTGATAGAAGTCCTAGCAGAAAATAGAGCACATGCAAACACACTTCATGGCGCAACAGTGCTATGAAGATGATGCAAGGTATCCATAAAAAATTATTACTATAAGTCCATGATGAAAAACAATAATTTTATTAAAACAGTCAGGTTTTGAGAATAAATTGAGTATTTATTAAGGATTAATTAAATGTATTGACATTGTATATAATCATTTAGGTTGTTTTATAAAAATGAGAATGGGGATTTTTTTTGATTATATAATATTTTACTTTGATTGCATAATGTTTAAATTCTGAATTTTTCCTGCAAGTATTTAAAAAGTTCCCCTGAAAAATGTACACCAATGTCATGTAACAAAAGAAAAGCAAAGCTATAGTGGGAATTTTTGCAGACTGTTTTACAGTCTATTTTGTTTATACATAGTTATGATCCAAATTAGATTTTTAAAAAATGTTTCTTTGTGTTTCTACAAAACCTACACCGTCCTTCTGATTTATATTTTAGACTTAACAGTTCTGAAGTGTTTTTAATGTATTTCAATAGATCATATGTGCATTACACATTTAATTTTGGGTGA